CAAAAACCAACAGAAAATCAAATATGTGTGCCTCTTGGGGCCTTCTTGGGGGTGCTCTTGGAGGCCTCTTCGGGGCCGTCCTGGAGGCCTTTTGGGCCATCTTGAGGTCACGTCGGTCACTCTTGGAGCGCTCTTGTGCTGTCTTGGGGGTCTCTGGGACGTCTCCGATGACCCCCCTGATCGCCCTAGGTGTGCTGGGAAGGCTTGGCAAAAAGCCCTGCGAGGCCTGGGGGGCCGCTTCGAGGCCCGTCCGGAGGGTCCCAAAGCCCCAGATCCTGGGAGTCCGGTTTTGGGGGGGGGGGGGACGGGTTTTCCCCCCGCCCGGGCTTGTAACAATATAGGAAGAGGAATATATATATATATATATATATATATATATATGTGTGTATGTATGTATGCATGAGCATGTATGCATGAATGATGGCATGCATGCATGCATGCATGCATGCATGTATTATGTATGTTGTTTGTATGTATGTATGTAGTTGTTGTATGTAGGTACTGTATGTATGTATGTAGTATGGATGTATGTCTATATGTATGCATGTATGCATGCATGCATGCATGCATGCATGCATGCATGCATGCATGCATGCATGTATGTATGTATGTATGTATGTATGTATGTATGTATGTATGTATTTATTTATTTATTTATGTGTATGTATGTATGTATGTATGTATGTATGTATGTATGTATGTATGTATGTATGTATGTATGTATGTGTGTGTATGTGTGTGTGTGTGTGCCCGGACTGCAGGTCGTACACATCGTATCTCTTCGATGCGTGTAGGGTGTAGGTGGCGAGTGTAACTTTGACCCGTGGCCCGACGCCCTCCCTGCCTTGCCTTGCCGCACTCGCCCCCTCGTCGTCATCACGCGGCCACGGCTCCGAGCAGCCGCGGTCTGTGGCTGTCCGTCTCACGAGTGCTGGCCGCCCGCGGGGAGCTAGCACCCTTGCCGGTCGCTCGCTCGTCGTCGGAGTTGTGTCGTCCGATCTGTGTCGTCCGATCTGTCGTCGTCCGATCTGTGTCGTCCGATCTGTCGTGGCTCTTTCGTCGTCGGAGTTGTGTCGTCCGATCTGTCGTCGGTCTGTCGTCGGCCTCTAACTTTTGTTCTAGCCGGGCAGTGTTCGCCCTGTTTTTGGGCCTCGGGACCCTCACTGATCGATCTGGCCCGAAACATGCTGCAGAACGACGGGGTCCAGGTCTCCGGTTTAGGGTGACAGTGATTTTCATGTTGGGAGGCGAAGGTTTGCAGTCGCAGTATTGTACCGATTTCCAATCGCCTTTACGTTCCAAAGGTTGAAGTTGTAAGATCAACAAGCTCCAGGAATTCGTTCAAACGTCTGAGTTCTCAAGCTTTCAGACGTTCATTTGTGGTTTGATGAGCATCAACGACGAACAGCCGAAATGTTCCAAAGCTCGAAATCTGGGAACGGTATACGTTCTTATGTGTGAAGCATATTGGCAACAGCCCTCAAGCTCGAAAGCTGGACATTGGAAAAGAGTTGCACAACTTGTGTACCTCGTACTTTCTACTTTTTTCCACACTGTGCCTCGCATGCCGTGTGTGTGCGGCAATGCAGTCCGTGATGTATGTGTTGATGTGTTTGTCATTGTTTCGCAGATCGTTTGGTCGGTGAATGATGCGTTGTGTTGTTGGTTCAATCTGCTCTCTTTGACAAAGAGGTTTCTACACGGACTCATCAAGTAGTCTAAGTAGGTTGCATGGATGTATTGTTTCCCTGTGGTTGTTTCGCAGGTCCCCTTCTAGGCCACAGTTTCGATGTCTGTCTGTTGTTCTGCCCAGCTGGCCTGCAGCTCGCAGGGACTCGATAGAGCGCTGCTTGCTCGCCCCCTGGACGCTTCGCAGATTGTCCGGATGTGGTTCCTTGCATGTTCCAGGTTCGTCAAGCAGGGCATGTTTAATGCATGCAAGCGTTGCGTTGAGCTCAGAGGACGAAGAGCGCTCCAAACATGTTTTTGTCATCGGGGACACCTTTCCCAGGACGGCTGGAAAGTTTATACCCTGACGTGCCACCATAGGGGTATACACTCAGCCGCCTTGGGGCAGGCGTCCCAGATAGGGGAACAGTTCATTTTATACCGTTCTTCCTCCTCTGATGACCGTGACCGTAGACACGCTAACGGCGATGTAGGTAGCGCTGATGTAGGTTTCGGTATTGTAGGTGGGGGTGGCTCGGGGCCAATGCACTTGTAGGGAAGGCTTGTTCGTGCTTTCCTACAATCTGTTCTGCGCGAGTTCGGCGTCCCAAAATCCAGTTTCACAACGTCGCCGTTAGCCAACATCGCCGTTAGCGTGGCCTTGGGATGAGCGTTTCCAGTCTTCTGCTTTGTCCAAGTCTTCAGTGCTCGTTTTTTGCCCCCCAGAATTTCGCGCACCCGCGTCTGCAGAGAAGTCTCCGAGGGGGCCCCTGGGATCACCAGGTGGGGGGCGGACCTCGCCGCCTTCTGGCGGGAGGCTGAAGGGGAAGGGGAGCAGGACGAGGGGACGGGGGGTGGAGGTGGGGGGGGGAGGAGGAGGAGGGAGAGGAGGAGAGGAGGCGGAGGAGAGGAGGAGGACGAGGAGGAGGACCGAGGAGGAGGACGAGGGGGGTTGACGATAAGAGTAGCGGAGAGACGTTTATTAGGAGTGAGGAGGGAGGAGGTAGGTTACGTGGTGTGCAGGAGGTGAGAGTAGGGTGGAGGGAAGAGGGGGGGGGGAGAGGAAAAGAGGACAAGGATGTGGGGAGGAGCGGGAGGGCGCTGGCGACCTCCTCCTCCTCCTCCTGTTTTTTTCTTGCGGCTGCGCTCCCCATCCTGTTCCCTGTTGCCCCCTCCTCTTAATCCTCCCATCCTCATTCTCATTCTCCTCCTCCTTCTCCTCCTCCTCCTCCTCCTCCTCCTCCTCCTCCTCCCTCGCCCCACCTCCCCCGCTCGTCAAAGCGAGAGGTCGGGGCGCGCATGAAGAAACCATATGCTTTTCGTCAGCGTATCCTCGATTTCTTCGCTCCTCGCGCTGCGCGGCGACTTCCCGCGGCCGTTGAAGGAGCTGCTGCGTTCAGGGTGCTCCGGGTTTCCCCTCCGGTGCACTTTGCGCGCGGGTTCTCAGGGTTTAGTTTTTTGCAAGGGTTTCTTGCGGCCGCGCCCGCTCTGTAGCGGTATCGGTGGCAGTTGGTTCCCATTTTTGCCCGCATTTGTCTCGCACAGGTCACTATGTGTTTTTGCGGCGCCCTCTCTGAGATTTCTTTTGCAACGCGGCAGTTGTACAGTTTATGTCCGATCAACGCGACAAGGAGGACGACAACGACGGCCCCGAGGCCAGAGTGTATAGATAATCGCTACTTGGTAAACCGGTTCCCGGGGTCACCACGAGGCAGTTGATACGGATATTGATTCGGACCCCGGGCGGCCCAGATTTTTCCATATCCAGTCTTTCCTGGTTTCCTGTGGCATGGGTTTCCCGGCAATGGCAGAGTGTGGCAGTGCTTTCTCACTCTCTCTGCAGTCGGCAGTGCGTGCGGCGAGCCTGCCATGATTTCGGAAGCTGGGCATGCTTGGACCCTGCTCCACGGATTCATATCTTACCCTGCCTTACCCCTCCCTCTCTGACGCCCTCGCCCCTCCTGCCTCGGCGCCGTTGTTTTGTTTCTGCTGTGCCGTGCGCTGCCATCCCCGGGGTCCGAAGCGGGCCTCGGGCAGCCGAGCTCGTGGAGAGAGAGTGGCGGCATCGGCCTGCAGTGGCGGCCCATGCCAAGAGACACCTGGCTTGCCTCCAGGGTGCCTTCTGGATCTGTTGAGTCTCTCGACGATTCTGCGATGGACGGCGTGACGTCCCCACACACAAAACATTGAGTCGGGCACGGCCCTCCTCTACAGGAGGAATACGCAAACATGGTATAACATAGTCAGGGGACGATTTGTTGATTCTATCTCGTCTATGCTTGAGAGTTGTTGGACTATTTTTCAATGTCTCGTCCAAGCTCCACCTGCAGGAGGATGTGCCCGACCTGAACCAAGCGTCGATGGACGTCCTGGGGTCTCAGGGTTGGGCTTCTCGTGGCAGGCTTCTTGCCTTGTGGCGGTTCTGCGCGCGCGCGTGTGTGCGCGTCTGTGTGCGTGCGTGGAGTTTGAGGAGGAGGAGGAGGAGGAGGAGGAGGAGGAGGGGAGGAGGAGGAGGAGGAGGAGGGGGCCCCAGAGGCCCAGATAAGCGAGAGAGAGAGAGAGCGAGAGGAGACGAGAGCGAGGATGGCGAACGGACGGAATCCTCCTCCCCTCCTCTCATCTCCTCCTCTTCTCTCCCCTCCTGCTTCTCCTCATCCTCTGCTCCTCCCCTCCCTCCTGATCCTCCTCCTCCTCCTGCTCCTCCTCCTTCTCCTCCGGCCTGCTCCTGCTCCTCCTCCTCCTCTCCTCCTCCTCCTCCCATCCTCCTCCTCCTCCTCCTCCTGCTCCTCCTCCTGCTCCTCCTCCTCCCCCTCCTACCACCACCCCCTCCTGCTGCTCCTCCTGCTGCTCCTCCTCCTCCTCCTCCTCCTCCTCCTCCTCCGTGGGGCCCCACCCGCCCACGGCGCCCTTGGCGCGGGAGCAGCCAGAGGTCTTCGTCATGCAGAAGGGCCGCTTCACCATGGACCTGTCGGCCCAGCTGCTGGCCCTGGAGGACGCGGCGGGCCCGGACTCGCGGGCGCGGACGGTCTCTCGCCCGCCCTCCCGTCGCGGCCTCGTCCGCCAGAAAGGGAGGGTGTGTGTGCTAGAGGTGCCCCTGGCCCAAGGTGCCGCCAGGATTTCCAAGGGTGCCCCCACGGCCTTCGAGAGAGGGCGGGAGGAGCACGGTCGCGCTTCGGGCGGAGCCGGTTTCTTTCGCTGCGGGCGATTTTGGCCTGTCTCGGACTCCGCGATCATCACAGAGCGATCGGGCTCGAAGAGTGCAGCCGAGAGAGTAGGTTCAGGGCTTCCGCAGTGTGCTCCAAGACGTTGCACTGCTTTTTTGTCGCGCAGTCGGACCTCGGGGGGCAGAGGCGCGAGGGGCAGGCCTGGCGTTGGGCGCACTGTGTTGTTGAGTGTTGGCGTGTTCCTCTTTTCGTTGGAAGAATATCACCGCCCACCAAACCACCCCAACCCAACCCGAAGGCCTCAATTTGTCCTCGATTTCCAGTGGGGGGAGGGTCGGGGAACGTTGAGAAAACACATGGAATCTGTACCCCCCCCAACCCGAAATTCGGGTCAAATTCGGGTCTTCGGGTTGGGTTGGGGTGGTCCGGTAGGTAGTCAGAATACACGCCGGTCGTTGAAAGTAGGTCTTTCTGTCCCAATCTACTTCAAGCGCCTTCCTACTTCAAGAATCGACACGCGTTTGCTGTGTTTTGCTATTCTCTGGGGGGCCTGGGCCCAATCAACCTTACTACTTCATGTTTTTACCTAGTTCTTCCGACCGACGTGTAGAAATGACACAAAGATGAACGCTCGGGAGCTCCGCGCGGATTTCTTGAATCTGCGCCCCCGTTGCGGCGGTTGGCGCGCCAGGGGGGGGGGGTCCAGCGCAGATACAAGAAATCTGCGCGGAGCTCCGAAAGTGTAGGTCATGTAGTTTGTTGTTATTTCACTACTTTCGGTATGCTGGGGATTGGGGGTTTCCGGCCCATCATATGTTGGTTTTTGGCGGAGGCATCCTGTCCCAGATGGCCACCAGATCCGGATGGACAGAGAGGGAGGCGGGGTTCGACGTGGATTGGTTGCTCGAAGATTTGCTTCTTCTACCTTGGCCTCCATGGGCTCGCCCGAGACGGTCAGACGTTGGCACCCCGGCTGCGCGACGAAGTCACAGCGGGCTCATATCATATAAACCTATTGCGTGGGGGAGCGCGTGCGGGCCAGGAGGGCACGCACGCTCTGGGGCGTCGCGGCGGCGCTCGCAGCGACGCCGCGAGGTCGGGCAGGAGTCGGAGATCCAGCGAGAGTGCGCGCGGCAGGGCCCCGCGTGGCAGCCAAGCGGGAGTGCGCGCGCAGGGCTCACCCGCAGGAGGGTCTTGCGCCGTGCGGCGGGGGTGCTCACGGAGGGGGGCACCTGCGAGCGGGGTTTGGGGGGGGGGGCGTTGGAGAAGGTGGGCCTTGCGACTGGTAGCAAGGACACGTACACACACACACAGACACACACACACACACACGCACACACACACACACACACCTACACACACGCACACACACATATACACGTACATACACAGACACACACACACGAACACACATACATACACACATACACACACACTTGATGATCCGACGCGGCGTTGATGGGAGCCACCGGGTAAGCAACGACACATTATTTTTCTTCCAGCGGCGAGGTGACGACACCGTCGCGGTGCGCTAAGCCAGGAAGCGCTTAGGCGAAGTATCATCCGGCCTAGCATATGGGTTGACTGGATCGGTACAGTCGCATTCAGAAAAGCCGCCGAAGAGGATCCACGCAGAACAAGAGGCCGAAGACCTCACGCAATGCAATGACAGTGTAAGTCGGTGCAAAAACACGTAAAAGCATGGCCGTTTCGTGTCGTCGCCCGCAGCGGCACATGCCACACACACACACACACATTCATTGAACAATCATGTTACTATGAGCTGGGCTATGTCGGAGTTGACATAGGGCATCCGTCAAGAGGTGTCCTGACATGCCCAAGGTTTCCAAGGCCCAAGGTGGCTCCCTGGAGGTCCTGGAGGGGGCGTCAGTGATGTCCAAATATGTCGATCCCCCTGTTTCCCCTCCAACATCCGGCGGCGCGATTGTTTCCAGACGTGGACGCGCGGACATTGCCGACTTTTCATCCTGATTGGTTTCTGCCCGCCCTTGTGGAGGAGCTCTCGCTGAGTGGTGTTTCGCATGACTTCCGCAGGAGCCCGAGGGCTGCAACACTGCACCCGAGGAAGAATAGGTTCAGAGTGTGCCCTCCTTCTTTCTCCCCCCGCGAAAGCTTCACGGCGGCCTCTCGTTCTTTCTTCGCGCGTCTCCTTGTGCCCGACTCGCGCTCCGTAGCCTGGTTGCCCACATTGACCGGCGGTGCGATCGCCCCACCGTGGCCGACAATAACAGACAAGCATTTTTGAGGAAGGGTGAGGTTGGCGGGGGCGAAGTCTGCCCGCCGCCACGCGCTGAGCCGCTGAACGCCCACAGAACCTTGCGGAAGCCATGCTGGCCCACGAGGCGGACGGAGGACCCGTGAGGCCTCATTTGGAGACCTAATTCTTTGAATTCAACGCCCCCGAGGGGGGGCAGACACCGCCGCCCCACTGTTTTTGGAGCGTGGTCGCTTTGATGCAGATGTGGCAAGAAATGAATTCCGCGACCGGACGTTGCGAGGCTCGCTATAGAAAGAAGTGGACCTTCTGAGCATCACTGGGCCACCCAGAGTCGAAGATGGCCCAAAAAGACGCGAGCAGTCACCGTGAACCTATTCGTGGAAGCCGAGGACGGCCCCGACGAGCCACCCCGCCGTCCAGGGACCCCCAGGGGCCGCCACGCATGCGCGAACCAGTCACACGATGCACCTTTCAGTTGAGATTTCAGCACGTCTTTGGCACGTTGGGCCGGCGAATTGCTCTCCTCAGGGCAGCACCACCCACTCCAGGTCCTGGCTGATGGGTAGGGGTAGGTTGTGGTGTCCGCATCTCCAGGGTGCTTGCAGGGTCCACTGGAAGTTCCCAAGGGACCCCAAGAGTTGGAGCCGGCTGGGGGCCTGGGGCAGGGCATCATTGCTTCCAGCAGCAAGAAGGGGGAGAGGCACCATGGTGCATTGCTTTTGTTCCCTGTCCCCATCTTGGGCCGCCTTCTCCAGGTGGACATTGGATGCTGAAGATGCTCCCTTCCCCCCCTGGCAGCGCAGACTCCTCAGCCGCCGCCGCCTCCAACCTAAAAGGGCTCCTCGGGTGCTGGAAGAGCCGAAGTTGTCCAGGAGATGGCTTCCCGATGGCGCCAGACGGGCCCATGAACCGTCCAGGAAGCTTGCAGGTTAAATCCGAGGACGCCGGACATGCAATCATGAAGATTGTTACACTTGCTTCGTCTTCGGATGTGTTTCAAATCGTAACGCGTTGAGGCCACTCATGGCTTCCCACAGCCTTCGAAAAGTCGGAGCAGGGCCCCGCGAGGCCTTCCTTCTCCGGTACCCTCTTGCCTGCCCTTCGCCTACACATAAATGGCTCCCGCCATCCTTCTGGCGTCTTGTTGTTTTCGAAACGGGGCCCCCCAGAAGTCCAGAGTGTTTCGCCAGGGCCTGGCTTCCTTCCCGAATCATTCTCCGCTGGGCCTGCGGCCTGGCGGGGGCCCCCCGAGGCCCAGAGCTGCCAAGCACCTCCCGTCGTGAACACGTCGGGGGCCTGGCCCCCGAAGGCCCAAGGACGGTGAAGAACCCGCCGACCTGACTTTGAGCACCAGGCAGCCCGATAGTCAAGAACAGACCGCCGTGGCGCCCCGTGGTCCCTCGAGCACCGGTGCCCTCACGGATCTTGAGATCAGACGACGCGAAGCTTGCTCAACATGATAGAGAGTCACGAGCGGAGCCCTAATTATATGGACCCCATCTGTTTGCTGCATTCTTCGAGCCAGATCTCTCTGCGACGGTTTTGCATGGGGCCCGAGAGAAGGCGAAAACGCCCGACTCAAGCAAATTGAGACGCCATGGTTATCAATCTTAATCGGAGGTGAGGGGGTGAGGTCGAAGTGGAACGGAGAGCCCCCCTCCCGGGAAATCGATTTCGGTTTCGTATTCGTGCGTGCCGTGCGTGCGGGCGAGGCGAAGCTGCGTGGGCGGGCGAGAAGAAAGTCTCCTGTAGCTGAGGCGCGGCTGGACCAAATGATTCCAGACCAGCGTTCGGTGGCCCGCGGTGTCCCGCCGGTGTCCCGCCTCCGGCTGAGGCGCGGCCGGACCAAATGATTCCGGACCGGCGTCTGGTGGCCCCCGGTGTCCCGCCGGTGTCCCGATGATGATGATGATGATGATGATGATGATGATGATGATGATGATGATGATGATGATGATGATGATGATGATGTTGATGTTGATGATTGATGATTGATGATGATGATGATGATGATGATGATGATGATGGTGGTGTTCCGATGATGTTGATGATGATGATGATGATGGTGGTGATAGTGGTGATGATGATGGTGTCCCGGTGATGATGATGATCATGATGATGATGATGATGATGATGATGATGATGATGATGTTGACGGTGTTGATGATGATGGTGATTGTGGTGATGATGATGGTGTCCCGATGATGACGATGATGATGATGTTGATGATGATGTTGCTGATGATGATGATGATGGTGTCCCGGTGATGATGATGATGATGATGATGTTGATGATGTTGATGATGATCCCGATGATGTTGATGATGAAATGATTGGATGATGATGATGATGAATATGATGATGATGGTGTCCCGATGATGATGATGATGAGATTGATGATGATACTGTTAACGATGATGGTGATGATGATGCTGTCCCGATGATGATGTTGATGATGATGACGATGATGGTGCCCCGATGATGATGCTGCTGGTGATGATGAGGATGATGATGAGGGCATGATGATGGTTTTGATGATGGTGGCCCGATGATGATGATGATGCTGATGTTCATGATGATGATGGCGTCCCAATGATGATGATGGTGATGATGATGATGATGGTGACGATGATGATGGTGTCCCGATGATGATGATGTTGATGATGATGATGTTGGTGACGATGATGATGGTGTCCCGATGATGGTGATGATGTTGATGATGTTGTTCATGATGCTGATGATGATGAGATGATGATGATGATGATGATGATGATGATGATGATGATGATGCTGATGATGATGATGATGATGATGATGGTGGTGGTTTTCCGATGATGATGATGGTGCCCCGATGATGATGGTGATGATGCTGATGATGATGGTGATGATGGTGATGATGATGATGCTGGTGCCCCGATGATGATGACGATGATGATCATGGTGATGATGATGATGATGTTGATGGCGTTGATGACGTTGATGACTATAATGCTGATGATGATGATGACGTTGATTGTGAGATCCATTGTGATACCGATAGTGAGATCGATAGCGAGACCGAATGTGAGATCGATTGTGAGATCGATAGTGAGATCGATAGTGAGATCGATTGTGAGATCGATATTGAGATCGATTGTGAGATCGATTGTGAGATCGATCGAATGAGATTGATCGAGTGAGATTGATTGGGAGACCGATCGAGTGAGATTGATCGAGCGAGATCGATAGTGAGACCGATCTAGTGAGACGTTGGTTCCCCCCCCGAACCTCCTTATGACCCGAAGGGTGGTCGTATAGGTATGTATATACACATGTAAACACATTTTTGCGGGCGAAGACGCAACCTATAATTGTGCGACTTCGCTGCGGACTGGAACTATCCGCCCACTTCCATTCCAAGGGATCTCTATCACATGCTATTGGATTTGAATTTGAAGTCTTCGGTTGGGTTGGAGATGGAGTGGCCCTGGGGCCGGGCAGCGCGCAGCGAAAAACGCGAGCAGGGATCCTTCCGGGCACCTGCTCACTGCTTCTGTCCCAGGCCACCCCCGCCCAGCCCGAAGGCCCTGGACCACCCCAGATCTCGGCCTGGGGGTGGTGCGGGCCCCACCGTGCCCCTCAGCGTCAGGAGTGCCCCCCCCTCACGGAGATCGACGGGCCCCACGGGGCTTCCGAGTCGGGCGGGGCTGGCCCCGTGGGTGCTTCGCCGCCCGTGGCCCCGCGGAGGAGGCCGGGAGCCGCGGGGGCGGCGCGCGCGGGACGCGCGGGGCCGGCGTCGGCCCGGCCAGGTCGTGGTCTTCACGCACTGCGGCACGGCGCGCGCCCCGCCGCCCGCCGCCGTGCGCCTCTTCGTGGAGGCAGTGCCGCAGCGTCCCCGCGTGTCGAGAGCTGGGCGAGGGCTGCTAAGACCGTGGCTGCTGAAACTCACCACCCACCAAACCACCCCAACCCAACCCGAAGGTCTCGATTTGCCCTCCATTTCCAGTTGGGGGGGGGTCGGGAAACATCGAGAAAACACATATGGAACCCTCACCCCCCCCAACCCGAAATTCGGGTCTTCGGGTTGGGTTGGGGTGGTCTGGTCGGTAGTCAGAAGCGGCCCTCCTGGAGGGAAGAAACAGCTTCCCGGAAGGAGGCGCGGCACGCGAAGCAGTCAACGGGCTTCTTCTGGGAAGGACGGACAAAAACTTTTCCCGGAGGTCGATTTTGGCAGCCACGGATTTAGCAGCCCTTGCCTTGCTTCCGAGCGTGGCCACGGGCCCACCGAAGAGTGTGCCCAGAGCCTGCTGTGGTCTGCACGAAGCGTTCTCTTGGAGCAGTCTTGCACTCCCTGACGCAGCCGCTTCCTGTGCTCCAGGGGCAGCGCCTCCTGCTCTCCGCATCCTGCTCGCGCTCTGGGCACGTGCCGTCGCAGGCCTGCAGGGACCGCCGGGGCGGTCGGCCCCGGCTCAAGTTCTGTGCCTCCCGGCTGGGGCCCGAGCAGGATGCAGGAGGAAGAAGAGGATAAGAGGAGGAAGAAGAGGACAAGGAGGAGGAGGAAGAGGAAGAAGAGGACAAGGAGGAGGAGGAGGAGGAGGAGGAGGAGGAGGAGGAGGAGGAGGAGGAGGAGGAGGAGGAGGAGGGAGGAGGAGGAGGAGGAGGAGGAGGAGGAGGAGGAGGAGGAGAGGAGGAGGAGGGAGGAGGGGGAGGAGGAGGAGGAGGAGGAGGAGGAGGAGGAGGAGGAGGAGGGGAGGAGAAGAGGGGGGGGGGGAGGAGGAGGGGGAGGAGGAGGAGGAGGGGGAGGAGGAGGGAGGAGGTGGAGAGGAGGAGGAGGAGGAGGGGGGCTCGTGGCCTGGGGAGGTCGAGCCAGGCTCGCTCGTGGCATGCCCGCGTGGCTTCTGGGGTCCTGGGGGAACGAGAAGAGTGGCATATACATGAAAACTCGGAGGTCCGCGCGGATTTCGCGGATCGGCGCTGGGCCCCCTCCTCGGCGCGCGGAGCGCGCCAGGGGCGGCGCCAGGGGCGGCGCCGGAGGCGCCGCCGGGGGGGGCCCCAGCGCCGATCCGAGAAATCCGCGCGGACCTCCGAGTTGTTATGTATATGTCACTTTTTGTTCCCCGAAGTCTTCCGCGGCTCTCTGACGCTGTCGTTGGCTCCTGGAGGTGTTTCCCTGCGTCGAGCGCTCGGGGCGGGAGCTCTTCTGCATCTGGGGGCCCTCCGCCCCTCCCCCCTTCTGCGGCCGCCTCGCCTGTCTTCCTTCTCCATCCTGCATGCTGGCCAGCTCGCCTTTCGGTTGCCCCGAGTCGCTTCTCGCTGGTGCGAATGGTACCTCTGCCTCGCCGCCGACGGAAACACTGTTTCCCTGCTTCGAGGTGCGTCCCAGCAGTTGCGCCTCGCCGAGGGCGTTCCCCGGGTGCCCGGATCGTCCCGATCGGCCGTTGGAGGCCCGGGTTATGGCTCGGAAGCAAGACATGCCCGCGTCGTGGAAGAGTCATCACGGCAGGCTTTTACCAGTTGTCGGCCTCCAGGGGCCGTCGTTGGGTCCCGAGACCGTCCAACAGGCAACTCGAGAGGAAGAACCGGTCCCCTGGAAGGGGTCCAGACTTCGGAGCCAATGTGCGAAACGATCACGGCGTCGGGTGTTCGGGTGCGCCTATTGTTGCACAGTTGAAGGGGCCCCAGGACACACAAATAGATACACACAAATAAAAAGATCCCCCATATTTTCCCATATTTTCTGGGTTTTTGTCTTCCCCCCCACTTCCCATATTTTCCCATATTTTCCTGGGGGTCGACGATTAATTGTGTCTGTGTGTTTCTTTCCCTCCTGAACAGTGATGTCCGTTGTTTGGTCGGTTCGGCAGAGTCGCAGTTGGTTCGGTCCTGTCGGTTGTTGCGTCTTGGCTGCGTCGCTGCGCTCTTCGAGGCTGCTTGAGACCTGCCGGGTAAGGTCTCGTTGTCGCTTCGGTCGGCACTCAGTTGTGCTGTCGCCACGGGCGGCCTCGGTGCAGCTCTCTCTCTCTCTCTGTCTCTCTTTCACTGTCCAAATTCTGCATGTCAACGCCACATCGGGAAACGATATCCAAGATCCCAGGACCCCAGTGGGTGGACACGGACAGTTTTTCGGGCCACGGGGTGTCAAGAGTCTATTTTTCAACACCTCCGAGGGTCCTGGCGCATCGGTTCCAGAAACAGTGGAAGTGCATGAGTTCGAGCCTCGTTCACTTTGCGTGTTGCGATCAGTTCTGCGAAGATCGAGATTGTTCGGAGGATCTCCTTTCGGGGGGGATCCAGGAATGAGGTCCAGGAGAAGAAAGCTGATTACGGAGGGGCGTCTTCGATTATGTAATCGCTTCGCTCCTTCCGCCAGTCCATGTTTAATATCCTTCGGCCCATCCCGCCACCGTGCCTGGGTGGTTGATCTGAAGCTTCTCGGATGTTCGTCGGGATCTTCTCGAGGCTTGTCGGGGGCCTCCTGGAGGTAGTTCTGCGGGGGCTGTTTGGGGGCCTCTTTGGGCTTCGTGGGGGCCTTTCTGGCCCTCTTGGGGGTCTCTTGGGGTCTCCTGGGTGTTCTTTGGGGACGGAAGGCTCAGAAAGCTCGTATTTTCGGTTCGTGTTCTCCCCGTTGGGCTCTTCTTGCGGCCCTCTTGGGACGTCTTGGGCGCCTTCTGGGCCGTCTTGAGGCCCTCTTAGGGGGCATCTGGGGCGGTCTTGGGGCCTCTTGGGGCGGGGCGTCTTGGAGCGTCGGACGCTGGAAAAGTGGAGAATCCCGAACATACTAACGAACACCTTGGGGAAACCAGTGATTGGGGCCTCCCGCTCGGGGCCGTATCGGGAAGGCTCTTAGCGGCCTCTTGGGACGAGCTGGGTGTTTTTTCGGCCGACTGCAGGCCACTTTTGGCGCCTTGCACCGATTCTCCAGCGATTCGGGGTCCTCTGTTGGACCGTCGTGGGGGCCTCTTGGGGGGCCTGGAAGACCGCCCTGGGCAGCTCTGCCATCCTTGAGGTGGCCTTGCCAGGAGTCCGCCTGAAATCTGCCGAGGCACTTTTCGTCTGGGGACCCCCCAGGGGCGGCCCCGCGCGCGCGAATTGGAAATGCTCTTAACTTGCTGCCGGGGATCTTACCACGCCTCTGGCTCGTTGGGCCAGCGCATTTTAGCGGCGTTATCCTGGCGCTACCAGAGAATCGAAAGCCACCTTGCCACTGCCCTGCCTTCTTTTGTCCCCCGTCCCCCTCCGCACGACGCTTTCCCCATCCACCCCTGACACCCCCTACTCCACCCCCCCTCTCTCCTCCTCTCCCTTTCTCCTCCCCTCCCCGTTACCCTCTCTTCTCCCCTCACACCCCTCTCTCCTCCCCTTCCTTCCCTCACGCCCCCTCTCTCCTCCCCTTCCCCCCCTCCTTCCCGCCGCCCGCCTGTCTTGATCTGCCTCCTTCTCCCTGGAGCCTCGCGAACACCCACATTGGCCCGTCCGTAGACCGGCGTGCCGCCCCCCCCCTAAAACAGGCATCCAACGTGAGACGTCGAGTTCCGGTTCACAGCGTATCGCCATGGGGGGAGTGGGTCCCGACCCTGACCTTCCAGAGAGCTATGTTTTAGCACGGGAGGCCTAAAAACCTGAAGCACGGAACGACAGCCTAAAACCAAGACGTAGAATAGCTCTGGGATAGGTTTTTCAGTCGCGTGCTATTTTTTTAGCCCTCCTGGAAGGTCAGGGGAGGGAGGTGCTTCCCCGTTATCGGGCCCTCGGGCCCCTCAGCGGGCCCCTGGGACTGCCCGACGGCGACCCGGGGAGAAGATCTCGTCCTGGGGAGAGGCCCCGGGGTCCAGGGCCCGTTTCCTTCAGGTCCCGTTTTCCCCGTGTTGGACGTGCAGTGGACACCCATGCCAAGAAGCACCTGGCTTGCCTCCAGGGTGCCCCGGGTTTCTTGGGTTTCGATGGGTCTGCTGTGGAAAGCGTGACGTTCCCACACCAAAAATCAGTGGACGTCCTCTGGGGTCTCATGGTTGGGTTTCTCGTGGAAGGTTTCTTGTGGTCGAGCTCCTGCTGTCGCTCCCCTGGACGGCCCAGGGGCTCGGCGATGGCGTGCAGACGCCGCACAGATCGCCAACAGTTGTCTGTCGCGACGTGTCTTCACGACGCGAGGCGGCCATATGCCCAGAGCTCCTCGAGTAATGAAAAAATCAGGACGGGAGGTTTTTCGCCATTTTCGGCCTCTGGGGGGACCTCGCCGGCCTTCGGAACCGTCAACAAAACGGCTCAGGATGAAAAACGGGTCCTGGGGAAGGGGTCCAGACTTCTGGGGGTCGACGTCGTGAAAAAATTATGACGTCGGGGGTTTGGGTACGGCCCCCAGCGGGTTGCCTCGGAGATGTGCCCCTCCGGGCGCGTGCCGACGACCCGGTTCGTCGACCGTCGGGGACCCCCACAAGCGGTGCGGTGGCCAGACCGTGCGGTGAGAGCCTCCGGAGAGGAGCAGGTACCGATGCCGCCAGCCATGCCTCGTTCTGCCACCTTGTGGGCCTCCTGGGAGGCCCTCGTCGCAACCGCTGGATTCGCCTCGGACCTCTGGTCAGGACGCACCCCGGGAGAAGTCCGGGGAGCCGCGGTGTCGGTACTTCTTCTTCCTTTCCCCAGGGCCGTGTGGTGGGTGGCCGCGCGTCACTGGTACTCGGGTCGCAGGGGGCCTCGGGCGACCGGGGCCAAGTTGGCGCCGGGGAAAGGCTCTGGGGCCCCGCGTTAAGAAGAATACATCAAGCAAGCAGTGGCGAAGCGTCCCAGCTTGCCTACAGGTCCACCAAAGAATGTTCTCAGAGCCTTGTGTGGTCTGCACGAAGTGTTCTCAGAACATGCGTGGTTGGGACTGTCCTGTTTTAGCACATCGGGCTTATGTTCTCGAAGAACATGTCGTGGTAGGCCGATTGGAATGCCAGGACGGTCGGCCCCTGCTCGAATCAAGACCTCGGGTGTCTGGGGGCGGGTGGGCGAGGAGGGAGCACCCTAAGGCAACCCCAAAAGCAGTGAGGTTTCCGAGGGAGTGTGACTGCTCTGGGGCCGCGCCAGACACCCAGGGAAAGGAGGCACCCCTGCGCTGCTTGCTCTCCTCCCTTCTTTGGAGCGGCTCTGGTCTGGATGGGCGGCCCGTTGGGGTGCTCTCCCTGAGAGTGCCTCAGGTCCGCCGGCCACTGAGGGCATGCTCCACAGGGCCCTCTGTTCTATTCCCCTGCCTGTGCAGTTCGCGCGCCTCCTCCGACCTCCTCGGGGACGGCCACGGCCACGTCGGAACATCGTTGGTACACATGGCGCACATGCGCGTCTTGTAGGTTCCAGCCTTGGCCTGAATATAGCCCCAGGGCGGCTGTCCCAGGGCGGCCCAAGACGCCCCGTTCTGGCAGTCCCAATGATCCCCTGAATGCACAGCTGGGCTCCAGTGTACGAGTAGCCCAAGAAGCCCTGAGGCAGCGCAGGGCCTGGGAGCGAGCAAGGAGGTACAAGAAGGGAGTTGCTTCGGCAGCGCGCCACCATCCTCCAGCGGCGTCGAATGCCCCGATCTCTGAACAACAACTGAACACCCCGAGGGCGAGCCAGAGCATGGGCGGCCCGAAAGGAATAGCGAGGAGGAGGAGGAAGAGGAGGAGGAGGAGGAGGGGCAGGAGGAGGAGGAGGAGGAGGAGGAGGAGGTGCAGGAGGAGGAGGAGGAGCCAGGAGCAGGGAGCCAGGAGCCAGGAGCCAGGAGCCAGGAGCCAGGAGCGAGGAGGAGGAGCGAGGAGGAGGAGGAGCGAGGAGGAGGAGGAGGAGCGAGGAGGAGGAGGAGCGAGGAGGAGGAGGAGAAGGAGGAGGAGGAGGAGGAGGAGGAGGAGGAGGAGGAGGAGGAGGGCTGAGGAGGAGGCGGAGCGAGGAGCGAGGAACGAGCAGGGTGCAGCCCAGGAGACCACGCCGGAGCTGCTGCGGCGGTGCCGGCAGAGCTGCAACGACCGCCTGCGGGAGCGGCCGCCGCTTCCTGTTGCGGGGGGGGGGGCAGGGGGCGGTCGCGCTCGTCTGCGGCACTGCCCTGCGCCAGGGGCGGGCGCACGGCTTCGTTGGTTTGGGCATTGCTTCCAATGGGGGGGGCGATAAGGATCAGTATCAGTTATTCGATCCCCATCCCCATCCCCATCCCCTTCGAGGCCCCCTACCAAATTAGCCCCCCAGTTGGGAATACACCCCTCGAAGCCCGAAGGGAACGGCCTACATCCCCATCTAGGGGGCTAAATCGGCCAGTGGGGCCCAGGCCACGCCGCTGGGGATGGGGATCGGATAAACGATACTCAAGGGAGGGGGGGCATAAACGTATCCTTTTCGTGCCCCTGTTGGGCCTCTTCTCGCGCGCGGGGCCCCAGACATCGATGGCGGGCGCGGCGTCATCGCGTGAGGCCCTCGCCTCGAGGGAACCCCGTGCAGATCATATATAAGGGCCGTGGCGCCGCTCTCCCGCAGCTATAGTGGCCCTAGCCCCGCTCTCCCGCAGCCAACACGCAGAATTCTGGGGACCCGTGGGCAACCCGTGAGAAGGCAAGGAAGAGGGTTGCAGTGCGAGCTCCGTTTTGGGAGGTAGCAGGGCAAGCGAGCGCCTCTCCGCCTCGCAGCGGTAGCGCTGCTTGTGCAGCAAGCTGCAGAGAAGCCAGTTCGGGCAGTTATAGGTTCAACGATTTGGGGCAAATTTGGGAGGGCTCTTGGATCTTGGGGCACTGTTGGGGGGCTCATGGGCTCTTGGTGGGTCTGGGACGGAAGGCTGTGGAAGTGTTGTTCTCTTCTTCGGGGGGGTCCTGGCCGCCACGGCGCTGCTCCCCTCGAGCGTGTTAGCCAGGACGGGACAGGGGTGTGCCTCAAACTTCGTACCTCTTGCGACTCAGCAGACGCCCAGCCGACTGATTTTCATTCCTGGGTCTCGAAGAAGAACAACGCCACAAACACATATTTTTGGTGGCGCTCCGCGCGGGCTTCTTAGATCTGCTCTGGACCCCCCTCTCTGGCGCGCTCCGCGAGGCAGGGGCGGCGCCGGAGGTGCCGCCGGGGAGGGCCCCCGGATCGGCGCCTGGAGCGCCTCCGGCGGCGCCTCCGGCGAGTAGCGGTACATCCGTATGCATGTAGCGAGTGGACCAATCATAGCGGTGGTAGCGCTTCGTTGGGTATCTATGCATCTTGTATTTCGCACCTTGGCACCCACCGCCAGTCGTCCATTCCCCCTCCCTCCCCTTCCTGTTGGCACGGGCTGCCCTGCAAGCAGTTGCAAGGTTGCCGTTGTCGTATATCCTCGCGTCCCCCCTGGTGTAGCCTCCCTTGTTGTTGCCCAGTCCCATCACGGAGTCCGCGCTTTGAATGATTTTCCCAGCCAAGAGTTGTTCCACGGAACTTCCGCGGGGAAGCTGGCTGAGGGGGGGCGTGGCAGGCCGTTCGTCTGCGCTCGGGGTGCCAGAGCCGCGGGACACCTCGACTGTGCGTTTCGTGGCGTCGCTTGCCTCCCCCAGGCGGAGGAGCAGGAGGAGGAGGAGGAGGAGGAGGAGGAGGAGGATGAGGAGGAGGAGGAGAAGGATGAGCTTGAGGTGGTGTGGAGACCCTTGGAAAGGAGGAGCAGGATGCGGAGGAGGAGGAGGAGGAGGAGGAGGAGGAGGGGAGGAGGGGGATGAGAAAGGGCAGGAGGAGGAGGAGGAGGAGGAGGAGGAGGAGGAGGAGAGGGGAGAGGTAGTGGCGGAGCGAGAAAAGGGGACGAGACGAACGGGGGAGGGTCGGGAGGATGCACTTGCTCTGGATCTTGCGGCTTCGTCTTCGGTCTCCCACTGCTCTCCCCGACTTGCGTCGGAGGACATGGTGAACCAGTACCCTGCCGTCGTTGGCAGCCCCTCGCCAACCTTTTTTTGAGAGAGTGGGAGAGAGAAAGGGAGAGAGAGAGAGAGAGAGAGAAAGAGAGTGAGAGGCAGAGAGACAGACAGACAAACACAGACAAACACACAGCGACAGACAGAGACAGACAGAGATAGAGGCAGACACAGACAGAGGAGTTGGAGGAGAGGAGGAGGAGGAGGAGGAGGGAAGGAGGAGGGGGAGGAGGATGAGAAAAGAGGAGGAGAGAGGGGTGATAATTTGGGGAGGAGTGCGAGGATGAGGGAGGGACGGGAGGGGAAGGGATATGAGGTAGGGAACGAGAATGGAGAGGAGAAGGAGGACAAGGAGATAGACGAGGCTTACCGCCAGGACCGCGATGACGAGGGTGCGGAAAAGTGTGGAAGGTGGAGAACGAATGCGTTTCCGTGCATTGTTTGGCGCGGAATTCGGCTTGGCGCATAAAGGAGGACGAGGAGACCGAGAGAACAAGGAGACGACGTTGGGGATGTCTGGGAATTCGCACGGCGGTCGTGGCCCAGGCCAGGTTTAGCGTCGTCATTGGTCTGTCCAGCCTCCGCGTTGGTCGGAGGTTCCTTGCAGCCCCCTCTGGGATGGGCTTTTGGGTAGGGGGGGTCGTCTTGACTTTTGGTAGTGAGATGGGAGCGCAGCATTAAACTTACCTTATGCACTTCTCGCATATCCCCGCCAGCCTATCAAAGCCAATCATCAGACGAGTTGCCCTGATCATAGATGTGTAGTACGCAGTCACTCTCTGGGAGCCTCTTTGGGGCATATTGGAGACATCGTGGGGCCCAAAGCAGTTGGGGTTCTCTTGGGTCTCTCTGGGGCTCTCTTTCGGTTCTCTGAGGCCCCTCTAGGGACCACCTTGGAGGTCATTACGCCCCCCACTCCCCACCCCAAAGGCAGAACAACTAGCTCGTCTGACCCTCTTTGGGCGCTCTTTGGCGCTCTTTGTGGTCGTCTTGGGCCCCTCTTGAGCCAGGCCTTAAAGGCCGCTGGAAGCGAAAAGGCGAGACGGCTACACAAGTGTTTCCCCGTAGGTTTGGGAACCAGTTGGGCATCACGGCGATGTCCTTGTGAGGCTCCGGGGCCATGTGGAGCAGTCTTGACCGGGGTGCGCCCGCGCAGTGTCAACGAGTTTGTTGCAACGTTCAGCTTCCGTTGGTTTTGACAATGGTGTTTGGCCTGCACGCGCAGGGCAACATGAGTCGGGGGTGGACAGAACCTCCTACAGTGACACGTCGATTAGTGAATTGTCCGTTTTCGGTTCTCGAGGGCGCCGTGGCCGCTATTTTCCAGGCTTGCGCCCGCCAGGTTTGCGCCTCAGGTCGTTTTCACTAAACCACGTTTTACTAAAGGGAGGCCTGTCCATCCCCGAATGAGGCCCCTTCGTCGCCCTTCCCACATAGCAATGTAAAGTGATCGCGGGGCGCCCAAACATAATGCAGAAGTTGCCGCACGGTGCCTGTTGTACTGTTTTGTGACACTAGGGATGGTGGGCGAGTGTTGGCGTCGGTCCTTGGGTTTTCACCTGCCTGGCGGTGGAGGGGCTGTCTATGAAGAAGAAACAGAGATCAGGCTGAACCCCCGAAGGTCGTCGTTTTCTCATTTATTGTTTTTCCGATCGGCGCGGGCCCTCGCACCCCACCCCGTCGCCATCCCCAATGGAGTAGATCTTGGCTGTTTTTGGCGCCTGTTTCGAGCAGGTGGAGTCTCCCCCATAGGAGGCACTGCTGCAAACAGTGGCATCGAGCAGAGGTCTGGAGCCAGACCCGCCCCCCTCCCCCCCCCCTTTCCGCCCAATGCCGAGACTCCGAACGAGAAAACGCTCACTGGGGCAGTCGTCTCTCTCGCGCCCACCCGCCCTCCCACTGCACACTCAGCACCCAAAAGGCTCCGCAGAGGCGAGGGCCGCCATCGACAGTCATCTCGGGAGCCAAGCGCAGACGTCAGCCAGGTGTGTGCGACGCCCGCGACGTGCGCCCTTCGCGTGGCCAGGGCAGCCCCTGTCGTCCTCACCCATGGGTCGTTGAAAGTAGGTGTTTTGGGATTCCCAGGTGCCCCCCCCGTCGTCCCTGTCCGACCGAGAGCGCGTAAAGGGATCGCGGGCGCCCGAGCACGTCATGCCATCTGTCGCAGCGTGTGTGTTGTGCTGTCCCGTACCCTCTCTTGGTCTTGACGTGAGGCCCCTCCTTCTGCCTTCCTCCCTCTGTCAATTAAAGCTGCGCGGCCCGCTCAGCTTCGATCAGAAGAGGCTCGCTCTCGACCCGCGGATCAAAAAAGTGTGTTGTACTGTCTTGTTGACCGCTACGCGGAGGACGATTTCCGCATCCCTTGACTATTATTCGATATGTTTTGGGGTATGTTTTATTGTTCGTCCAAAATCAGCCTGTAGGAGGACACGCCCGATTTAACGTTGGTGGTACGGTAGGTTGACCGCGGATGATGGGGTGCTGGCATTGTCTTTGGTTCACCACCGGTCAAGTGGGGGGAGGGGCGTGTATCAAGGCGGAGCAGCCAGAATCCTCGTCGCGAGAGTACAGGGGAGGTTGGAAGAACTGGGCTCTTCGACCACCCGAGCCAACAGGCCTCCTCCCCCCCCCTCAGCTGTCCTCGCTCGCAAACCAGGGGGATAGCGCGCGCAGCTTATGACCGCCCAGTTGAGCGATTCTGGCTCCGAGCAACCAAACTCACACCCCGACGTCATGACTTGTTCGTGACGATGCCAATTCCCCGGCACCAGCTTCTCATCCCGAGTCGTTTTGTGCACTGTCCTGCCTGGCGGGGGCCCCCAGAGGCCGAAAACGTACCAAAACCATTCGTCGTGATGTTCTTCCGACGCGAGCATGTTTGGGTTTCGGGCCGTGAACCGGGCCTTCAGCGACCGTTCGGGGCGATCGGGCACCTCCGGAATGCGCAGGGAAGCCCCCACAAGCCAAGCAAATTTGAGAAAGCAGGCGAGAGCGCCCGACAACGGCGAGAGCATGTCACAAGCGAGGCCGCTAGTCCGCCAGCCAGTGCGCCCTCCCTTTGCCCAGGCGTGGACAGCCTGCAGCCCGGCCGCGCCGAGGAGGACCGCGCGGCCGTGATGGGGGCGGTCACCGCGGCGTACCGCAAGGCCGCTCTGGCCCCTCGGCAGCGCTGGACCTTCAGTAGGGGAACAAAAAGTGGCATAAACATAAAAACTCGGAGGTCCGCGCGGATTTCTCGGATCGGCGCTGGGGCCCCCCGGCGGCGCCTCTGGCGCCGCCCCTGGGGCACTCTTGGGCCGTCTCTGGGCCGCCTGGGACCCTGTGGGTCCATCGTGAACCCTTCTTGGCCGTCGAGGGAGTCTCGTGGTGCCGCCGTGGGCCCTCCCCGGCTCCCGCCGGACTGCTTCCCTGCATTGGCTGGGGACCCGACGGCGCGTATCCGCGCCGTCGGGCATGGAGGACTGGAGTTCCTGCGGCCACGCCGCGACATGTGACCTTTGGGCTTCGGGCTCCGTGAGAGCACGGCCGATGTGAAGAACTCTCGGGCTCCTGAGTCAATCCATCCTGGGGAGGGGGGGGGGCGAGGGGTCCCAAAACGTGAGGCAGGTGAGGTCCCGGCATTAAGTCAGAAATCCCCGGGTGCCCATGGCGACATGCATTTGTCGACCCCCTTTTCCCCGCTCGGCGAAATGATAGCATTACCGCGCGTAAGAATGTTGACAGCATGTGGCTCTCGCACCAACACCGCGCACAGTCGTTCGAATATGTGGCGGATATGTTGCGGGTGGGTCCTTTTCAACATGTGTTTTTCGTTTTCGCGCGGCGCACGTTCGTTAAAAAATGCAGGAGACTCACGGATGGGAGGGCGTGTCTTCTTCCAACATGTTTTAATCGTTTCAGAGCCGCGCGCCGTCCTAGAAGTTTGTAAGAGTTTCACGGATGGAGGGCGGGCTTGCTATAAAATGCGATTATCGTTCTTCGAAAGAGTTCACTGGTGGAGGTCGGGTCTTTTTGCGCAGGTTGTTCTCGCTTTGGCGCCGCGCATATTTGGTTATACAGTTTGCGTGGGTTTCACAAACGGAGGGCGGATCTTTTCAGATGCGTTTCTCGTTCCAGCTCCGCGCACATCCAAAGACGTTTGCAAGATCTTCACGGATGGAAGACGGATCCTTTTCCAAATTGTGGTTCTCGCCTGGGCTCCGTCGCATTCCTGAACACTTCGCGGAAAAATCATGGATGGAGGTCGGTTTTCTTTCAAATTGTGGCGCTCGCCTTTGCGCCTAGAGAGTCCTTGGGATCTTGAGGATTCCGAAAGAACTGCTAGACAAACCAAGAATATTCCTTCAGTGTTCTCGTCCCCTCCCCCTGTCCATTCCCGGCGCCGTTTCGGCCCCATGGAATTCAGCAGAGGTGTGCCCTCGGACACAAGTTATCAGACATCCCGGGCTTCAGACAGATTGCCAGGATGTCGCGCCAGGCGCTCCCCCTCGTGAGCGCTGATGTTGCGGGTGTGGGCTTCAGCGCCGCCCTGGCGTTGAGGCCCGACGTTTCCTGGAAGACTCGAGGCGCGCGAGACTCATCAGCACCGCCGGCGTGCTTTTCCAGGTATGCTTGCAGATCGAGGACATGAGGTGGGTGGGTGGGAATCACCATCGCCGCTCGTTTGAGCCACATTGATGAATCTCTCGGGGCTTCTGATATCTCTGCAACTGAGACGCTCAGACAGTGCCGGGCGGTTCTCGATAGCTGGGCCCCGAGAAGAACGAGGCTTATTCAGCGCGCAAGGTTCGAAAGTGGGTCAGCCGGTGGGCCCGATCGTTCCGCGCAAGGCGTTGCCGTCGTTTTTTCCTCGTTGCCGCGGCGTGAATCACCCCGAATTCTTCGTCAGAACGCGCGCTCGGAGAAGGCGCGGAACAACATGCGGCATCGGCATTTTCCTCGGGCACCCAAGGCGAGGCCCATCGCCGCCCTCAGCGCTGGCCAGCGCGATCCTGTCTGCAGGCGGGGCCATGGCTGAGATTCCTGATAAGAGCAAAATCATCATCTGCCAGCAGGTCGCGGCTACGCCAGGGTCTGCGATACCCTGCCACAGGCGGCTTCCTGCGGATCAGACGGGCAGGTTGAGAGCGCGCGGGCTTCAGCCCGTTTCGCCGCGGTCAAAGGCCCCCGACTGGCGCCGCCGAGGCACTTGGGGCGTTCGGCCCACCCCCCCCTCCTCCTGCGATCAAGCTTCGTTGAAGACAGCGAGCCGACCTGGCAATTCTAATGCAGCCCTCCTCGGGTTGGAAAAAACAGCGGTCGCGCGTGTCACTGGGAACCCATTCGGTCACAGCGACGGGTTCACGTTGAGTTCCCATGCCTACGTGGAGAGAATTCGATCGTGGACTACGCAGACATCAACAGCGCCCGCGGACGCGTGCGCACGTTGCGCCCACGTTGAGACCGGCGGAAGATGAACGCCAACATGTTATTTTTATATTGGGATCCGGCATGGTATAAACTATTGTAACACATTGGGACGTTCCGCCCCGCGGCCGCGCGCGCACGCGCCTCCGCGCGCTCCGCGCGAAATTCGCACGAACATGACCCGAATCCCGAGGTTTCGCTCGTTCGTTCTGCCTCGATGTGGTACGGCGCAACGCGGTGCCGCAACCCCGAATCATGTCACAATGCGGGGCTCAAGTGACGCGGTCGGTGCAGGGGGGAGGGGGGGGCGATGCTCCCAGGACTGGGGGGCTTTGCAGGGCAGCCGAGGAAGCTCAACAACACGAGCGGCGACGCACGGAAAACCGCGACGCTTCGTCCAGGCGTCGAGACGGGGGCCCCCCCAGAAGGGGCCCGAAACAACCCACCCCGCCGAGCCCCTTGTTGGGAATCTTCGACGACCCGCAGGGATCCTGCGTGCCCCAAGATGGGACCCCTCGGGGATTATGGCTGGAGGCCCTCTTGAGGTTTCCCTGCGTGCTTCCCGGATGCTTTTGGGGGGCACCTTTTCGGGCCTCTTGGGTTTTTGGGAGGGATCTCTGTCAACAAGGGGCCTCTCGGCCTTCGGAGGCCGTCTTGGGGCCCTTTCTGGGCAGTCGTGGATCCCTCTTTGGGCGCCTGAGGGCAGTTTTCGAGGTCTATGGGACCGTCGTGGAGGACTCTTGGGCCATCTTGGGGCCCTCGCGGGCTGTGTTGCGGGCCTCTTGGACCGTCTTGGGTCGACCTTTGGGGCCTACGGGACTGTCTTGGAGCGTCGGAAGCTCCGACACGGCGAGAACGTCAAAGTCATTGAGCAAACTTCGAAAAATAATGGTGATCGCCTCGTGGAGTTGGAGCCCTCTCGCGGCGTCTTGGGGGCCTCTTGGGTCATCTTTTGATTTCTTGGATGCGCCTTAGGCCAGCTTGGAGACAAACTGAGGTCATCTTGGGCCCTCTTGGCGCCATCGTGGCCGTTTTGGGAACCAGATTGGCCGTCTTGGGGGCCATCTTGGGGCGGTTTGGATCGGGAAGGCTGGCGCCTTGGGAAGTTTAGGGGTCAATGTATTCAGAAGTTTGGCACGCCGTGCACCCCTGCGGTGACTCGAAGACGCCTTCGGCGAATCACCGCCGCTCCCTGCCTTGTGGATGCGACTGTGTGGCCGAACGGTGCGGCCAGCGCTCGGCCGAGCTAGCGGCCAGCCAAAATCATTCAAACACCCGGGGGAAACCAGGCATCTAGGAGGCCTGCTGAGCGCTTTCGGGGCGATTTTGATGACCTCTTGGGCAGTCGGGACCCCGACAAATTGCCAACGCTAAAATCCTCCAGCAACCTACAGTGCCGTTTTTATAGTTGCTCCGCGTGCGGATCATGTATTGCAGGGTTTATCATTAAAAACAACGATGAGTTCATGCATACATTTATTCATACATTAATCATATCTCAAAAATCCCATAATTTTAGTTAACAGCCCTGTATGGACAATCCATGATTTGGACCTCTCCGGGCCCTCATGGAGTTCCTATTGGAGGCCTCTTGGGTCTTCTTGGGCGATCTTGCGGCTATCTTGCGGGCATCGTGGGCGGTCTTGAAGACATCGCGCGGAAATATGTTGGGAGAAGCGTAGCCGTCTTGGAGGCCATCTGGGGGGGGGGGGGCGTCGGTGGGCGTTCCAGGCCCGTCTGACGCCGTCGAATGCCGTCTTGCTGCCGACTTGGGGCCCTCTCGGAGCGCTTCAGGGCCGTCTTGGAGGCGATCTCGGGAGCCTTGGGAGCCTCGTAGCCGGTCAGGGGTCCATCTTGGAGGCCTCTTGGGCGCTCTTGGGGCCGTTCTGGTGGCCTCTGGGGCCATCTTGGAGCGACGGAAAGCCGAAAACTCGCAAACACCCAAATCTTTAAAAACTACAGGAGAATGAAGATTTTGAACTCTTGTGGCCGTCTTGGAGATCCACTCGGAAGCCTCTGGTGCCGTCTTGGAGGCCTTTTGGGACCTCTCGGGCGATCGCGAGGCCATCTTGGGGGGCATATTGGGCCGTCTTGAAGACATCGTGCGGCCATCTTGGACTGTCTCGGGGCTGGCAGTCTTGGACGCCATCTTGGAGCCATCTGGAGCGGAACAATTCTTGCCGACCAGGTTTGGCGGAGTTTTTCGGGTGGCCGGCGCATTAAGGCGAAGGCCTTTGGGACTTTTTGGATATATAGGCACTACATTTACCGAACATCCAGCACGCCGTGCTTTCCTATGGGAAGCCGCAGAGGGGCGGCAGATCTAGTGGTTTTCGGTCCAACCCGCCACTGTGCCTTGGACCGATCGTTCGGCGACTCGAGGCCTTTGTGGACCGTCCGAGAGGCCTCTTGAGCCCCCTTGCATGTGCACGCCCTATAAATCACGAGGGAGGAAGCCCCGGGAGCGTCGGGAGCCCCGTGAGATTTGAGAAGTTGCGACCTGGACCCCTTCAAAAAGATCCTCGGGATGGAGTACAGGCTCAGGAGATCGAGCAAGGGACATGAGGATACTCCAGCTCGTGCTTCGTAGGCACGGTGGCGAATATTGCACGGGTGCCTCCGTGGTGCATTCGGGACCTTCCACCTTGAGATCCGACGACGCGAGACAATGCAACAACATGACAACGCATTACCAGAGACCTAGACCCCATCGTTCTCGAGCATTGTTCTAGCCAGATCGATGCGTGATGGCACCTGGGCCCGAAACCGGGCGCAAACGCCCGGCTCGAAAAATGCGCAACGTCGGGATCTCACGGTCAGAGCACTCCTCCGCACCAACACATTCCCGCATCGCACCTCTGATCGGCCTCGCCTTGCAGGAGGAGGAGCAGGAGGAGGAGGAGGAGGAGGAGGAGGAGGAGGAGGAGGAGGAGGAGGAGGAGGAGGAGGGAGGGGGATGAGGAGGAGCGGGAGAGATGGGGGAGTAGGAGTAGGAAGAGGAAGGGGGGAATGGGGGAAGGGGGAGGGAGGAGGAGAGGGGGAGGAGGAGGAGAGGGAGGGGAGGGAGGAGGAGGAGGAGGAGGCGAAGGATACTGGCCACTCGAGGGCGCCGCGGGCCGCGCCGCTCGCGACGGCGCCGCGGCGCCCCGCGTGCGCGCGCCCGGGCGCGGCAGGCGCAGGCCGCGCTGCGCCCGGCCGCCCCCGTGGACGTCCGGCGGGAGCTCCAGGACGGCGCGCCGCCCGGCCGCCCGCCGCCCGTCGCTGGCCGGGCGCTGCGCAAGTCGGGACGATCGAAATGGGCACGGAAAGGATGGGCACAAAGGTTCTGGGCCTCCCAGATTTCAGAGGAGGAAAATCGGGGGCGGCCACGAGGGGGGGGATGACTAGGGTGGGGGGATATCATGCCGGGGGCCATGGTCTCTCCCCAGATTTCATGGCGCTTCTTCTTATTTCAATGCGTGCCCTGGCCGCCCTGGCCCCCCCTTGGGCCCCGCACATGCCTCCGGCCATGATTTACGCCCCCTCCTCTTGGACGCCCCCCTCTTGGCCGCCCTCGAATACAGTGGAGACCCATGCCAAGAAACACCCTGCTTGCCTCCAGGGTGCCCCGGGTTTCTTGGACTGCGGTAGTTTTGCGATGCAAGGCGTGACGTTCCCACACCAAAAATGTATGGAAGTCCTGGGGTCTCAGGGGTGGGTTTCTTGTGAAGGTTTCTTGTGGACGGGCCCCTACTCTACCTCTACTCTCTACTACCCTTTCCTCGTTTTCCCGCTCGCGGACGCGCCCGGCATGGGCTCGGGGCTCGGGAGGGGAGCGGGAGCGCTGAGCACGGTGGGCGTGCGGCGCGTCCGCTCCGCTGCGGCGCGGGGCGCGGAGCACGTGGTGACCGCGGATCGGCGGCGAGGTCCGAACTTTTCAAGGGCAACGTCCCAGGGGGGGGATCGGAGGAGGAAAAGGTACCCATCTAGACCCCATGGGGTAATGAACAAATAATGACGCGGAGTTTCTCTTAGCTTTCGGCAGCTTCAAGCCCTTACCAGGCCTCGGGACCGTCAACGAACGACTTAGGATGAGGAACAAGTCCTGGGGAAGGGGTCGAGTCCTCTGGGGGTCGATGTTATGAAAAAAATCATGGCGGCGGGGGTCTGTCTGGGCACACAGCTACCCCTCACTCGTTGCCGCCTGTTTCAGGCCTCCTCGGAGGCCCTCGTCGCCACCGCTGGATTCGCTTCGAAGTTCTGGTTAGGACGCACCCTCAGGGGGGGAGGCATCGACCCCCAATCGCTCACTCATCGCCAACGTTCGGATTCGCTAGTCGGGGCCTATCGCCAATTTTAGTATCGGCGATGCACCGCCGATCCGAGCTTGATATTTCCCCCCCTAAGCTTGTCCCCCCCTACCGTTTCGCCTCAACCCCGCCCTCGCCGATCCACGATTCGGGCAACTCGACGTGTGCGAAGGTGGGGTTCGGGTTTCGTCGAGCACGTGGCTGAGTCCGAAGCCGGCTTCCGCCTACCATTGATTCAGGAGAATCGATTGTTGGGGGAGGTATGGTTCGGATGTCAATTCCCTTGAACTACACTGAAGTCGGGCATGCCTCTCTACATGAGTAATATTCAAGACTAGTAGACATAGTCTGGTGACGACTTTTCTTTTTTTGAACACATTGGAACAATTTTGGATTATGCAATTAGTTTCAAAAATCTGCCTGTAGGAGGACGTGCCCGACCTAACACCTACATCGCACCGCGAGGGGTGGGGGCTAAACGAGGGCCCGGGAACAGCGAACGCAGGTAAGGCCAGAGGAAATATCATCACGGCGGAGGGGGGCAATGTGAGAGGGAGTGTGCGCGGGGGGAGGGGGGGGGAGAGGAGAAGGAGGAAGAGGAGGAGGAGGAGGAGGAGGAGGAGGAGGCGGAGGAGGAGGAGGAGGAGGAGGAGCTGAGGAGGAGGAGCTGAGGAGGAGGAGTGGGAGGAGAAAAAGGCGGAGGAGGAGGACGAGGATGAGGACAAGGCGGAGGAGGAGGAGGAGGAGGAGGAGGAGGAGGCAGGCGTGGGGAGGAAGGGGGTGCTGAAGGGGCTCCCTGGGCCCCCGAAGGGGCACGCAAGAAGGTGCGCCGGCCTTTTCCCCCGCCGCGGCGGCGCCCCGTCCCCCCTCCCAATCGGCGACGCCCAGCTACAGCCAAAAACCCTAATAAGGACGCGCGACTTTGCTCAGGGTACTCCAGATTTCGTAATAAAAGGGATCGGGGTCTGGACTCTCCAAGACAAGCCATTTCAGACCTCCCCCGTGGGAGAACCCTCCAAAACATCGTCCCCAGACCCCCCCAGGTCCTCCAAGATAGCCTGGAAGAGACCCCCCCGAAATGAGACCCCCCTCCCTTTATTACGAAATCTGGAGTACCCTTGCGTCCTTGCTCTTTCTTGCTCTTGCGTCCTTGAGAGTTTTTCGTCGTCCGCCGCCCCACAAATCCCAACTTCGGCTTCCAAGGGTCTTGCTTCCGTACCGCGCGTCTTTTTGACTGTTGCAGGAAGCCCTCGGAGGCTGTTGGGAGGCCTGGGGGGGTGGTTGGGCCGCCCCGCGCGCGCGCGCGCCCGCGCGCGTCCGCGCCAGCGGCCCGAAGCGTTGGCCCCAAGACAGCGCTGCCGCTTCTTCGGGCGGCGCGGCCAGGCCGTCCAGGGGGCTGGGCATGGGGCTCTCTCGGGGTCGGGGGCAGGTCGGCTATGTTGTGTGATGTGCGTTCCCCACGTAGCGGCAAATGGCGGCCCAAGCACAGCGCATACTTTCGTGTAAACATTCGTCGCCAAAAAAACCGGCCCGAACATTATAAGCTATACGTAGTTTTGTGGCGCTTCTGCGAAGCCCCATGGGGCAGGGTCCAGATACCTTAGTGTATATACGCGCGGTTCCCACTCTCCACTCAGAGAAGGAATCGGATACGTACCGTCGATGCCGTTGCTCGTCCTGGAGAGCCCTCGTCGCCGCTGCTGGATTACCCTCGAAGTTCTGGTAAGGCCGCGCCCTGTGAGAAGTCGGGGGAGTGGCTGCAGCTGTACCTTTATGTTTCCCCCTCTGGCGCCTCGGGCTATGATGTTCCATCATACTTCAGCCTTGACAACCAGAAGGAATTTCGAGCACTGCAAAAAAACGAAACTTGATGGTTTTCACGTGTCGGGCCCTCGGAGGCGATATTTGTTCGACACTATTTCGATACCTTTCTTTGTGCTCGAAATTATTTCTGGGGTGTGGTCCTCAAGTACGATGGGAGCTATATACTCCTCGGGGTACGTTTGCTGGGCCGAAGGCCAGGGACAAGGAGGGGAGGGGATGGACGGCGACGGCAACGAGGAGTGGTGTCATAGGAAGGAGGAGGGAGGAGGAGGAGGAGGAGGAGGACGAGGAGGAGGAGGAAGAGCAGGATGATGAAACTGAGGATAGGGGGAAAGTAGCGGGAGGAAGAAATCATGAGTAAGCGGAGGAGGAAAGGTACATAGGGGGTAGATGACGTTCTTCAGAGGAGGTGTGTTGTTGTGTATGTTACCGCTTCTCCTCATCTTCACCCTCACCAGCCTGAAACACATCCCTGTCCCTAAGATTGTTGTCACCTTGTCTCGATGCCGATCTTAAGGAATCCCTCAGTGTCTGAGGGTGCATCCCTAAGATTGTCACCGCACTTGGGCTTGTCCATCGTAAGGATCGTGATAATCTCGAGGCTCTCCTCATCGTCTCCCTCCTCTCGGGTCGGACGAGAGGAGCGGTGAGGGAAAGTGGAGGCAAGACACCTGCTGCATGCAGCTGGTTTCGGCCCCGCCGCCGGGCGATGTCTTCGATGCCTTGGCGCCCTCCAGCGCTGGGAGTCGCCGGAAGAAAAAGCTGCGTGAGTTGTCTCATTGACCCCCTTTCATTGCACCCCCTCTCGTCCGACCCGGTCATGCTATATGGAACGTGATGTTCAAAGTCGAGATGTTTTTTCATCATCCATCTTCGCCGCATCCGATGGAGCGTTCATTGCGAAGGGACGACACAGCTCAATGTCACACTCGTAGTATCCGGATCATCCAGGAGACATTTACATGAGTTTCAAGGTAACGATGTTTTTTCATCATCCATGTTCGCCGCATCCGATGGAGTGTTCATTGCGAAGGGACCATTCTTACAGCTCAATGTCACGCTCGTAGTATCCGGATCATCCAGGAGGCGCTTGTGCCGCCACGGAAGGGGCCTGTGGCGTCCTCCTCGTTCTCCTTCTCGACCACCCCTGCATCTTCCTCGTCTCAGGGAGCGTTCCTTGCGAGGAAACGGCACTCATTCTTCCACCTCCGCCTCTCCCTACTCGTCGCTGCTCGCCCTTCATCTGCAGACATAGTGTGTCCTCATCCTCTTCTCCTTCTTCCTCCCCCATTCATCTGATGATGAGGGTCATCATCATCATCATCATCATCATCAACAACACCATCATCAGCGTCATCATCCTTCGCAACAGCAGCATCGTCATCACCATCATCAGTATCAGCATCAGCTCTCCTCCTCGTTCTTCCGTTTCGTTCCCCCTTCCGCATCGGGTTTCCTCCTTTCTCCCTCATCCGGGTGTCTCCATCTCTTTCCCAGGCCATCTTGCTCGCTTCTCCCCCCTGAATATTCATAATAGGGTGTATATCTATATGTGTGTATGTAGATGTTCCTCTCCCTCCTCGTGCCTGCCTCCTTCTCTCCTCCGTCTCCTTCCTCGATTCTATTCCCTCCCCCTCCTCAGAGATGACGGCGACGACGACGAGGGCGTCCTCCTTGCAGCGGGAGGCGGAAGCATGGCGCGACGCTTCCTGTCCGCCTGCTGTCTGTGCGGCCTGGCTTGGCGACTCGCGCCGTGCGCCGCGGGCTGCCATGAAAGCATCGGCCACCGTCGTCGTCGTCGTCGTCGTCGCCGTCCATCGTCGTTGTCGTCGTTCGTCCCCACCCCCTCCCATGCCTTCTCCTTCGTCCTTCGTCTCATACGTCCTCTTCCTCGTCATCCTCTGAGAGCGCCGTCGTCCCTATGCTCATCGTCCCCCTCCCCATCCTCGCTCCCCTTGCCCCCACCCCCTCCACCCTCCCCTCTCCCTTCGTCGTGCCCCGTCGCCTCGTCTTTCTCGACGCACCGCGGCCACGGAGATCCCCTCCTCGCCCCCCCTTGGCTGGGGGCCAGCGGCCCGTCCCACCACCGTGCCTCGATCTTGGGCGAGGGGCATCTCCTTGGCATCGCTCGGACGTGTGCATTTTCCTCGGCGGGCCCATCTTGCGAACAACGACACGGAACCGACACATGCACGGGACATGGATTTCTTGGCGATGGCAAGTTCTGGAGGTATTTTGGGGAGCTTGTTGGGGGGCGTCTGGGGGCCTCTCGGAGGCCTGTCGTAGGCCTCCTTGAGGTTTCTGGGGGGCTCTTTTGGGATCCAGGGGCGCCGAAAGCGGAGGGGTAGTTTCTCTCCAGGCCCTGGCAAGTTTATTTAGATGGAGGGGATGAGGGGGGGCCTGGCGAGGCCCGGACGGAATCTTGGACTTCACGCAAGTCGAAACTAACTTGCACACCGTTTGAGTTTCGCATTGTCCCATAAGGCGGCGGAGGGGGGTGACCTCCTTCCTCGTCCTCGTCCTCGTCCTCGTCGTCTCTCCTCCCTCTCTCCCTCGCCCCCGTGCTCCCTCCTCCTGTATGTACTGCCCCCCTCCTCTCCCGGGACTGCTGGGAGGACAGGTCACTCGACCAGATGTCGAGGTTTATATATATATATATATATATATATATATATATATATATATATATGCGCGGCAAGGGCAAGGGCAGTTGTAGGAGGGAAGGCTCGGTTCAGGGGAGGGGGGGAAGGACCGAGGCCCAATGACCCCCGACCGCCGCCCATGCGTCCCCGACCCCGGCCTCGGGCGCCCCGCCGGGGCCGGGAGCGTCAAGCTCCGCTGGCGGGGGGCGCTGCCCATCGGCCGCTGAATGGGGGGGACTTCGGGGTTCCCAGGTTCGGGTTCTCTCCTCACCACCCACCAAACCACCCCAACCCAACCCGAAGCCCTCAATTTGCCTTCCATTTCCAGTGGGGGGGGGGTCGGGGAACGTTGAAAAAACACATGGTATCCGTACCCCCCCCAACCCGAAATTCGGGTCAAATTCCGGTCTTCGGGTTTGGTTGGGGTGGTTTGGTAGGTAGTCATCTCCACTTGGGGACACACGGTGATAGAAGCATAATAACTCGGAGCTCCGCGCGGATTCGATTCTTCGGACCGGCCCCCCGGCGGCGCCTCTGGCGCCGCGCTTGGCGCGCTCCGCGCGCTAGGGAGGGGGTCCAGCGCCGATCCAAGAGGGTCTTTTGGGATGCCTTTCGGGGGACTTGGAGGGCTCTTGGTGAGGTTTGGGGGGTCTCTTGGGGGCCACTTAGGGCGTCTTGAGACCTTCGGGGGCGCCTGAGGGGTGTTCGAGATTCCCGGTTTCCGCTATTCTTGAGGCGCCTTCTTATTTCAAGTGTCGAATGGCTCCCCTCTCCCTTCCTCTTGGTGGGCGGAAGCCCAATCTGCTTTCAACGCCTTCCTACAGTCGGGGACCTGAAGAAGGAACCCTTTTCGTTGGGGAGGGGCTCCGTGTTCCTTGATTGTTTCACAGTTTGCCTTCGGTTTTCCTTTGGTTTTCGATGGGAAATCGAAGTTCAACTTGTGGATGAAAGGGGCCTCGTTCCTTATTTAGGGTTCCTTGGGTCAACGCCCCGACTGTACTTCGTGGGTCTGCCCGCTTCTGCCGAGCCGTGGGTGCCGCCGATGTGTGCGGCGGCGTGTCGCCGTTCCGCTCCGCGTTCCCAGTCGCCTCCCCACCCCGTCCTCCCCGTCCTCGCCCCTCCTCCCTCCTCCCCCTCCTCCCTGCCTCCTCCCTCCTCCCTCCATCCTCTCTCCCTCCCTCCTCCCCCTCCTCCCCCTCCTCGCACCTCCCCCCGTCCTCCCCCCTCCTCCCTCAGCATCGCCCAGCCGATCCCCCTCGCCGCCGGGCCATCGCGAGCACCTCAGCCCCGCAGGCCCCGCCGCACGCGTGACGCGGGCCGCCCGGTGGGGACAGCTCCATGCCAGCGGGGAGGGGGATCGGCGAAGCGATGCTCCCTCCCCCACTCCCTCCAGACCCACCCCTCGCCTCGCCAGGGTTGGCGTTTCTGGCCGCGCGCGGGTGTCGAAAGTTCAGCGCTCCCCGGGGGGGGGACCCAGAGCCAGGTGAGATTCGCTCACTTGGTCTGTGCCCACGTGCTCTTTTTAAACTCGGCTTTGGGTGCGTGGCGGCCTTCGCGGTCTGCAGCTTGCCCTTGTGGCTCGCGGTCTGCTCAAGGAAACAGTCGGGTGTGACTGGCAGGGCGGGCCTGCGACACCCAGGACGCCCTCGGTGCTTGCCAGTTGCGCCTCCGTGGCCTTTTTTTATGTTTGGAGCACGTGCTGTCCCCGGAGGGGACTCGTACCCTCTCGGGGGGTCTCTGCAAGCAGTCCCAGCTGCAATTCGGAATGCGGGTCGATCATTCCGCCTTCGTGGCCTTTCTATGTTTGGAGCATGTGCTGTCCTCGGAGGGGACTCGGCGCCGCCACTCCAGACATCCCCTGCCTTGATTGTGCCCACACGCGCCCCCCAGAAGTCCCGACCCTAGTTATCGTCAGGGCTCTGCTTTCATCCCGTGCCGTTTTGTTGACGGTCCCGCGGCCCGGCGAGTGCCCCCCAAGAGGCCGAGCATGGCAGACCATGTTCTGCCGTGTTTTCCCACACACAGCGCGAGGAAGTCTAAAGGTGACCCAGGAGCTGCCGGAGGGCCACCCCAGGGGCCCGTGGCGGGGACGGCCTCATCCACCGCCCGGGGGATCGATCTTCAGGGACATCGGCAGGCGGTGGCGGTGCGCCTATCCGGGCTCCCTGAGGCCAAAGTGTATCTATACTATAGCCGCATCTTCAACATTTGTTTGCTTGTCGCGATTGTGTTACGAGACCAGGTAGTTTGTTTGTTTGTTTGTTTGTCGCGATGTGTTTGTTTGTCGCGATTTGTTTGTTTGTCGCGATTGTTTGTCTGAGTATTTCTTGGCTGGCAGGTAAGGGACCCCTGCTCCCTTTGGGAGCGGACCGGGGTCAAGGGACCCACGACATCAGGGATAAAGGGGGTCTGCTCTGCAGATGCATCAAGCCAGACCTCCCATACTGATGATCCCTGACGCAAAAAGGAGGACCCGAGTTAGGCTACGTCATCATTGTGCTAGCAGAGTTCAGAGTTCTTGTGTTCTCGATGACCGACAGTCGCAAGCGATGGTGAGGATGGGTCACCTTGCCATGGGTACCCTGGCATCCGTGCCTCCTCGATCCATCCTGAACCCCTCTCGATGGCCCGCCCGCCCGAAAAAGCTCCGACCTGGGCGTACAAGGAGCTTGCATCCTTACCGCAGATCCTTACTATCAGTTTTGACTGTACGGTGGGTTCGCGTCGTGTCGACCGGCGGCGACCCCATCGAGGGCGTTTAAGGTTGAACGCCAACCGTGGCCCAGAATCGGCCCGTCGTTGAACGATCTGGCGTGAATGGACCAGCCGATCGTTCCAGTGTGAACGATCCCCGCGGTGTCAGAAACCACCCCCGGGGTCGTCACGACACGGACCTGCCGTATCTGTCCTCCCCTCGACCCCCAGACGTCGACCCCCAAAGATCTCGACCCCTTCCCCAGGACCGGCTCCTCCTCCCGAGTGGTTTTTGGACGGCCCCGAGGCCCGGCAAGGGCCCCGAGGGACCGAAGATGGCGACAAACTTCCGTCGTGATTTTTTCCTGACTCGAGGCGGCCTGGGTGACTGTCGGTTTTGACTGTCTCTGTCCTTCCCTCGAGGCTTCGTGGCCCCGCGGGCGGGCCCGGCGGCCGCCGCGCGCGCCCCCGCGCGGCCGCCGGCGGGGCCCGCGGCCCGGGCGGGCGCGCCCCGTGTCGGTCGGTGTCGGTCGGTCGGGCGGGCGCCGCTGCCAACGTCAGCCACGCGCAGAGGGTCGACTAGTAGGAGGAGGAGGAGGAGGAGGAGGAGGAGGAGGAGGAGGAGGAGGAGGACGGGAGGAGGAGGGAGGAGAGGAAGGAGGAGGGAGGAGGAGGAGGAGGAGGAGGAGGAGGGGAGGAGGAGGAGGAGGAGGAGGAGGAGGAGGAGGAGGAGGAGGAGTGACCTTTCGCCGGAGTGACATGTGGTGCGGGACCAATGGGGCCCCCCGATTGCCGCACGCGATGCGGCAGCAGCGTCTTGCGCGCTCGTGTTTGGTCCCTCCCCCGGCCCACCAAAAGCCGCGCACCAAAGGTCACTCTTACCCAGGGTCACTCTTGCGAGGAGTCGAGAGGGGGGGGGGTCGGAGATTGACAGGCCTCCTACCCTGACACGTCGATTAGCGACTTGGCCGTTCTCGGTGCGCGATGGGGCGTCGCGGCCGTCATGTTTGCGGGTCCAGGTCCGTCGGTTTGGGTCCCAGGCCGTTTTCATCAAATGGAGGTTTATTAAAGGGAGTTTTGTCCACCACCGCCGAGGGTAGGGTTAAGTCGGGCCTGTTCCTATACAGGGGGAACGCATACATACACACATATATATATATAGATACACATTGTCTGGGGGCGAAGTTTAGACTGTTTTTGTTTTGTTTGTGGGTACGTCTTTGGGGCTATCTTTTATTTTTCTTCCAAGATCCGCCTGCAGGAGGACATGCCCGACCTAAGGGTAGGGGGAGGGTGGAAGGCTTCTTGGAAGCACCCCTGCTTCTTAGAAGGCGCGGGCCTTCTCTACAGATGTAGGGCCGGTGCCTTCTAAGAAGCAGTATCGTTTTAACAAGCCTTCCCCCCTCCCCCTACCCCTTGTGCGCGCCGCCAGCATTGAGGAGCGAGCAAGATCGCTCGAGCAGTGGCGAAGTGTCCTGGCTTGCTGATAGGCCCACAAGGATCCAGGCCCCCTAGATGGGGTCGGAGGCTCGCGCTGCATCCATGCACCGGCGATGCGGCTCGATGTGGAGACCGATTTGCTTCACGTCGACGTCGCCGATGCATCGCCGTCGTCGACGATGCATCGCGGGTTCATCGCCGATGCATCGCCGATGAATCGCGATGCGGCGCAATCCTCCGACCCCATCTACTCGGACCCCGGGTAGGAGGGCTCTAGTCCTGGCTTGCTTTAAGGCCCACCAGAGATTGTTCCAAGAGCTTTTTTGTGGTCTCCACGAGCTGTTCTCAGAACATGTCTGGCTTAGCCTGTTTTGTGTTAACACATCGGGCTTGTGTTCTACGAACCGTGGTTTTGTTTTTAGCACATCGTAGGGTTCTGGGAACATGTCGTGGTAGACCTATAGGAATGCCAGGATGGTCAGTCCCTGCTCAAATCGCGCAGGGGTATTTGTTGTGGAGGGTCCTTTTCATGCGGCTCGCTGCGTATCCTGTTTTTTTCCGCGCCGACTTCCCCGATGCGTCACCCACGTCGCTGATACATCGCCGACGCATCGCCCGTACACATCGCCGATGCGGCGCGATTCTCCGACCCCACCTACTCGTAAGTCGGGCCTGTCCCTCTACAGGAGGAATATTTAAAGATAGTCACAAAATAGTCAGGAGACGATCTTTTGACCATGTTTGACTATCTGGGAGTATGTTTTTGACTATGTCTTTTATTTTTCGTGCGGAATCCGCCTGTAGGGGGACATGCCCGACCTAAACCTACCCGGACCCCATCTTGGAAGCCTCTACTGCTGAGGGTCCACTTCGTCCTCGTCCTTCCCCCCCTCGAGGCATGAAGCAATTGCGACGAAGCGTCTTCGCTATGCTCGGCTTTTGGGGAGGCCCTTGCCGGGCCTCGGGGCCGTCAAGATACGACGCTGGAGCACAAAGCGGTCCCGGGGAAACGGTCGAGACCTTGTGGGGCCAGCGTTGTGACAAAATCATGACGTCGGCCCTCCCCGTCCGCTTCCTCCTTGTCTTGCCCTCCTCCTCCTCGCCCTCTGCAGGATAATTGTCTGGGGGCGTCGGATCACGGGCAGACCAGATATAAGCAGAACTATGTAATATCTGCTATAAAGGGCTGGTCGCCATCCAAAGACGGGCATATCCTTAAGCCCCGCGCAGTTTAGTATGTAAAGGCCCGTGCTCCCGTCTCTAGGTTGCACGACCAGGCCTGGCGCTGGTCCTCCTCGCCCTCCTCGCCCTCCTCCTCCCCTTCCCCTTCCAACAGGGCCCCGATTGCCTCCCCGCACCGTTTCCGGGCGCGCGCACGAGTGCTCGCCCGCCGCCGTGCGGGCTTTCGAGCACTCCTCCTCCTCCTCCTCCTCCTCGTCCTCCTCCTCCTCCTCGGCCTCCTCCTCCTCCTCGGCCTGCCCATCCAGCTGGCCCTCCAGCAGGCCCTCCAGGAGGACCTGTTCGCCCAGGCATTGCGCTCCTCCCCTTCCCCATCCAGCTCTCCAAAAACACGTTTGGACGACGACGTGCGGAAGTTCCTCCAGAGTTTATCCGACCACCCGCGACGAAGCCACATGGAGCAGCACCAGCGAAGCCATTCATTCGCCCGCGGCGATATTGTCATTGACGAGAGCAACGATGCAGAATGGTTGACGGCCGCGACAGACACGACGTGGTGGGACTCACTTGAGAACACATTCCTCGCGCGCGCCAGCTGACTGCGAACTTCCCACCACCAACAGCAGCAAACCACAAAACAAACAGCATAACCAACAGCAGTAGCGCAGCACATGGACCACACGCCGTTCCCAACAGCGATACCAAAACACCGACAGCGCCGACTCAGCCCTGATCACCAACACCGACAACCGCCGACCAACAGCAACACCAACACGAAGCACGACTGACCACCACCGCCGCCAGCATCGCCAACCGCGCACCGCCGCCGACGACTGGCACAAAACACCGACCATCAACATTGACCACAGCAGAAGCACCGACTGCCAGCACTGACCACAAGCAAGAAAGACCGATCACGATCAAACTTCGGAACCTCGTCCTCCTTAGTTCCATTGAAAGTTGAATCAATGTGCGCTGGCCCGTGCACAATTTTTCACCCGCGCCCTCAATTTGTGACGATCCTGAGTTCGGCACCACTGGCGCCGTCATTCGGCGGCGGCTACGCGGCGGTGTAGGCGTCGGCCTCGGCCTCGGCCTCAGCGCTGTCGTCGGCGTCGGCGTCGGCGTCGGCGCCCGCGAGGCTCGAGGTCCTCGAGGAGCATCGAGAAACTGGGGCGTCTTCGGCTCGTCGTGCGCACCGTGGTCGTCGTCGGCGCTGTCCCTCTCGCCGTCGCCGCCCTCCTCGTCCTTGTCGTCCTGGCCGGGAGGGGACGCACACGGCGAGGCCGTGGATGTGGGCAAATGTTTCGCGCTGGGTCGCGGCGTTTGGACGCGTCTAGGGGCACAAAAAGTGACATAAACATAAAAAAAGGGTCCGCGCGGATTTCTTGGATCGGCGCTGGGGCCCCCCGGCGGCGCCTCCGGCGCCGCCCCTGGCGCGCTCCGCGCGCCAGGGAGGGGGGGTCCAGCGCCGATCCGAGAAACCCGCGCGGACCTCCGAGATTTTCTGTTTATGTCACTTTGGGGTCCCCTAGAACATATTCCCATCCCTATGTTGGGCATCGCCTCATCACGATGGCGATCTTGAGGATCTCCGCAGTTTCTGAGGGTGCATCCCTAAGATTGTCATCGCCTTTTGGCGCGCCAGTCTTGGGGATAGGGATAGGTTCGAGGCTGGCGAAAGTGATCCGGGATGCTGCTCGATGGCTTCGGGCACCGTGGCATATGTTCTGTTGCGCTGCGGCGTGGCCTGGCAGCGCGCGCGCTGCCAGGCACGGCTGGCAGAGGTGCGCGCTCCCTCCGGTCCGGCTCGGGGGCGGCGGCTCTCGAAGAAGTAAAAACACACATACACACAGACACACAGACACACAGGAGGGGAAAAACACACAGACACAATTCATCGTCGATCCCAGGAACGTATGGGAAAATATGGGAAGGGGGGGAAGACGAGAACCCGAAACATATGGGAAAATATGGGGCATCCTGTTCTTTGTGTATTTATTTGTGTGTCCCAGGGCCCCTGGAAAAACGCCATGAGCATTGATTTTTGGCGCTCCGCGCGGAGCTCTCGGACCGCGCGGGGCCCCCCCTGGCGGCGTCTCAGGCGCCGCCCCTGGTGCGCTCCGCGCGCCAGGGAGGGGGGTCTAGCGCAGATCCAAGAAATCCGCGCGGAGCGGCGAAAGAATCTGTTTATGGAGATGTTTCTTCTTCTAGGCTCGCAGGTCGGGGGGGGTGAAAATGTGAATATATCTCTATATATATATATATATATGTGTGTATACATACATACATACACACTCGCCAAGGCGAGACATGCTCGCGCCATCGGTCGAGGCCTTTGGACGGGTTGTGTCCTGTGGCGTCCTTTTCTGAGCCGGGGTCTGGCTTGTCCTTCACGGTCCAGGCGGAGCCTTCGGCCGCTGTGCGGGTATGTCGGCGTCGCTGGGAGGTGGGGGGCGGGGGGAGTGGGGAGGGGGGAGGAAGAGCAGCAGTTGGCGGGGAGGGTGGAGAGGGACGATTCAGAAGGGAAAGGCGGGGAGCAGGAGTGGAGAAAATATGAGCGGGGAGGAGCAAGAGGAGCAGGAGGAACAGGAGGAAAGAGATGAGATGGAAGAGGAGGGGGATAGCTGGATAAGCAGGAGGGGAAGAGGGAGGGGGAGTTCGAGGAGGATTCTGGTGAGGAGGGGGATCAAGGATTTTGACGTTAGCGTCCTTTTCGCAACATGGAGGGCCCTCGTCACCACAGTCTGTGTCGCCTCCAGGGCATGCCTGGGGATCGACTTTGGAGGATGAAGAGGAGGACGACGAGGACGAGGGGAGGGGGAGGACAAGCAGGATGGGGAGGCGGACGAGGAGGGGGAGGAGGACGAGGACGAGGAGGACGAGGAGGAAAAGGGGTGGAGGAGGAGGAAGAGGAGGAGGAGGAGCAGGAGGAGCAGGAGGAGCAGGAGGAGCAGGAGGAGGTGGATGAGCAGGAGGGGGAGGAGGAGCAGAAGGAGGAGGAGGAGGAGAAGGACCAGTGTAAACCCAAGAGCCATCAACGAGGTTGGAATACACTCTCCCCCCAAGTTCCCCTCTCCATAGTCCCCTACAACGGCTCATCGTTGGAAAACAGTATTTTGAAGACATTGAAGCATGCTAGAATATTGTTGCGTCTTGGGAGATCAACGCCGCGAACCAACGTAATTGCTGCACCCGGAAAATCCGAAATCCTTCCCCGAACGCAATCTCTGGTACGTTGATCATGGGAATCGGTGAAGCTCTGACACGTGTGATACGAATGTGCGCGGCGCTAATGCGAGAGCCACATTTTAAAGGCGGGTCGCCCGCAATCCGTGGAAGCTTTGCAACATTTCAAACGAATGTGGCCGGCGCTAAGGCGAGAGCCACATTTTGAAAACCACCCGCCCTCCATCTGCGAAACTGTTGCCAATTTTTAAGCTTCAAATATTTAGATGGTGAGGAAGTCGCAGGCGAAGCGCCCGGCCCGCCGTAAAGACTGGCCCCAGAGTGCGACGGGGAGAAGTTATCCATTAGGAAAAGGAATGGAAGAGGAGGAGGAGGAGGAGGAGGAGAAGGAGGAGGAGGAAGAGAAGGAGGAGGATGGAAACGTGGAGTGGGGGGGGGGAGGAGGAGGAGGGCAAGGAGGGTGGGCGAAGTAGAGATGGCCCCCTCTGCCACGCCGAAGAGCGACGCAGAGGCGCCGTCGACGCGTGCCTGGCCGCGACCAGCGCGGCCCTGGCGCTGGCCGCCGGGAGGCCTCGGATGAGGAGGACGTCGGGGGCAACGTAAGGGGGAAGTGGCTTCGGGGGACACATCTCGACCACTACGGTAGGTTCGCGTCGTGTCGACCGGCGGCCACCCCGCCGCTGGCGTTCAAAGTTGAGCGCCGCCAGCGACCCAGAATCGGTCGATGTTGAACGATCTGACGCTTCGGAAACGGCCGCTCGTTCAAAGCTGAACGGTCCCCGCGGTGTCAGAAACCAACCCCGAAGTCAGCACGAAACGAACCTGCCGTACAAAGGGTGTGGTTAAATACGTCAGTGCGTGGTTTGCGATCTGCGTCGTTTGGGTTTCTGGTGTACCACGTTGCTCTCGTCAGGCCTCCTCGGGGCGCTGCGGAGAGCTCTGTCGACGTCCTCGCCTCCCCCGAGGGTGCGGGTTGCAGACCGCGCCATTTGCAAACCACACCCTTTGGAGTACCCGAATATCGTCATCTATTTTTCAATCGCCCATTGATCGCCGATAGGGGCCCGATGGCCCGCTTCGCCCCGGATCATGCGGCGATGCCCTCGGGGTGCCATCGCCGATCTATCGGCAATGCATCGCCGATGGCAGGTGGATGATCGCCGATGTCTCCCCCGCATGAGCTGGCCCCCCCTGACGTTCCCGCTGCTCAGACGAGGAGGAGGAAGAGGAGGAGGAAGGGGGGGGATCGGGAGGAGGAGGAAGGGGGGGGGAGGAGAAGGAGGAGGAGGAGGAGGAGGAGGAGGAAGAGGAAGGAGAGGAGGAGGAGGAGGAGGAGGAGGAGGGAGGAGGAGGAGGAGGAAGGGGGGGGGATCGGGAGGGGGCAGTCACGAGGAGGCCTCGCTGCCCCACTCTCAGACGGGGGAGCTCCAGGAAGGCCCGGGGCCTCTTGAGAGGCCGCCCGTTCCTCCGAGAAGCCTCGGGCGAAGCCTCCGGGCCCTTCTAAGAAGGGGCCCCCCTGCCTTCTAAGACTTTGGGGGATGGGCAGAGACACCCTCCTCCTCCTCCTCCTCCTCCTCCTCCTCCTCCTCCTCCTCCTCCTCCGACACGCCGATTGGTGCATGGTCCGTTCTCGGTGCTCGAGGGGGCGCCGCGGCCCTCATTTCCCAGGCTGGCGCCCGCCAGGGTTGGGCCCAAGGCAGTTCTTTTTAATAGGGGAACAAGAAGTGGCATAAACAGAAAATCTCGGAGGTCCGCGCGGATTGCTCGGATCGGCGCTGGACCCCCCTCCCTGGCGCGCGGAGCGCGCCAGGGGCGGCGCCGGAGGCGCCGCCGGGGGCCCCAGCGCCGATCCGAGAAATCCGCGCGGACCTCCGAGATTTTATGTCTATCCCACTTTTGGTTTCCCTCTTTCGTTAAGCCACGTCTTGCCAAAGGGAGGCCCTGTCCGCCCCCCGACGGGAGCGCGCCGCCTCCTCGAGCGGCCACGTCCCCCGCGCCAGCCTCTTCGGCGCGCGCCGCCGAGCATCGGCCCCTTGACCTGGCCCTCGATCCTGGGACCTTCGCCCCTCGACCCTGCAGTTCAGTGGGGCCTGTCCCTGATCCTCCTCGCTCCTCCTCCCTCCTCCTCCTCCTTCCCCTCCTCCTCCTCCTCCTCCTCCTCCTCCTCCTCCTCCTCCTCCCTCCTCCTCCTCCTCCTCCTCCTCCTCCTCCTCCTCCTCCTCCTCCTCCCTCCTCCTCTCCTCCTGCCCCTCCTCCTCCTGCCCTCCTCCTCCTCCTCCTCCTCCTCATCCTTTTCCTCCTCCCACCCCCCCTTGGCCATCCTCGCCCCCCCCACCCCTTCCCATTGACTATCCCCCCCCCCTCGGCGGCGAGCCCAAGGGGGAAGCCAGACGGGGCGGGGCCTCTGGAGTTCCATGCGGGAAATCCAAAAGCAGTCAAAAAAGTAGTCTGGGGACGATTTCTTCTAGTATGTCTTGAGTCTTTTTGTTTTCGCATGTGTTGAGTTTTCTTTGTCGTCCAACATCCGCCTGTAGGGGGATGCCCGACCTAACCCTACAGTCGAGTTTGATTAGTAGGCCGACCATGCCAAATCAAGGGTACCCCGGTGTCCTGCGGTTCGCGACCCAGGCCTTCACATTCCTGCTGCAGCCTTGCCTTCGGAAGGCCCTTTTGTCCTGTCGCTTGTCCTCCCCAGCCAGACTCGACTGCACATCCTCCAGCCTCCACCCGCGATCCTCCTCGATCCTCGTCAGGGAGCATCTGCTTTGTCTTCCTCGATCCTCGATCGTCCATCCTCGATCCTCGATCGTCCATCCTCGATCCTCGATCGTCCATCCTCGATTTGCTTTGTCCTCCTCGGTCCTCCTCCGCGATCCTCGATCGCCCATCCTCGCTGCTGGTGAGGCTGTCGGGGTGAACCCGCCGTGGCGACGAGGGCCCGGGCCTGCGGCGCCGCCGCCGGCGTGCTCCGCTCGCCAGGCCGGCGCCGTTCCCAGAGATCTGCGCGGACCTCCTCCTCCTCCTCCTCCCTCCCTCCTCCCCCTCCTCCTCCCCCCGCCTCCTCTCCTCCTCCTCCTCCTCCTCCTCCCTCCTCCCTCCTCCTCCCCCCCTCCTCCTCCTCCTCCTCCTCCTCCTCCTCCTCCTCCTCCTCCTCCTCCTCTGGTATGTTTTGTCTCGCCATGCTTCAGGAGGAGAAGAAGCACACAGACACAATTAATCCTCGATTCCCGAGAGAATATGGGAAAACATGGGAAAGCGGGGGGGAAGACAAAAACAAAAACCCAAAATGTGTAGGAAAACATGGGACGTCTGTTTATTTGTGTGTCCCCTTCAATGCTGCGTTCAGGGGCAACGATAGGGGGGATAAGCTCCGGGGGGACGGAGTTTCCGGGAGCGAGGTCCGAGGTCCTCGGACGTTGCTCGGGCGCCTTCGGCGGCTTTTCCCAGCTTCGGGAGATGCGGTCCGACAGCTGCGGCCCGCCGAGGGCGTTCCAGGGCTTCCTGGACATCGTCCCGAGCGGCCGCCGGAGGTCCGAGCTCTGGCCCGAAAGCCAACGACAGGGGGGAAATAGGCATAGGGGGGATGCATCGACCCCCAGTCGTCCATTCATCGGGGGTGGACAGAACCCCCACCCCCTCGGCTCGGCAGCTCCCCGGTCGGGTGGGGCAGGGGGTGTATAGCAGCACGGAGTGGGGGCCCCCACACGGTGTGGTGACCACACCGTGTGGCGAGTCGGTGGGGATTCGGGCTCACCGCACGGTTTGGGGACTCGGGTCCCTCTCCGAGGACGTCTCGGGCGATTGGGGCATCCGAGGTCCCAAAACCGTGCGTTGACGGACCGTGCGATGAGGTCTTGGGGGATTTCGAGGTCACCGCACGGTCTGTCACCGCACTGTTTCGGGACTCCAAAATAGCAGTAGGGAGCAGTGACAGGCTTTTTCCCGAAGGGGAAGATGGAAGAGGAACCACTCTTGACCACCTCCGTCCAAAGGGCTGGTGGGATTGAGCTGTTATCCCCTACCGTCGCCCCTCGGCTCGGCACACGGACGTGTGCGGGTTGATGGCCGCCTTTCCTCACTCCGTCTCACACTGCGGCGCAGCTCTGCTGGGATGATATGCAATCCTTGAGGCTTGAGTCACTGATCACTGTTGTTGGCGTCCTCCTCCTCCTTTTTCCTCCTCCTCCTCCTCCTCCTCCTCCTCCTCCTCCTCCTCCTCCTCCTCCCCCTCCTCCTCCTCCTCCTCTCTCCTCCTCCTCCGTCTCCTCCTCCTCCTCCCTCCTCCTCATGCCTCCTCCTCCTCCTCCTCGCTCCTCATCCTCCTTCCTCCTCCTCCCCTCCTCCTCCTCTCCTCCTGCCTCCTCCCCTCCTGCTCTCCCTCCTCCTCCTCTCCTCCTCCTCCTCCTCCCTCCTCCTCCTCCTCCTCCTCCTCACTCCTCCTCACCCCCCATCCTCCTCCTCCTCCTCCGTCTCCTCCCCCCTCCTCCTCCTCCTCCTCCTCCTCCTCCGTCCTCCTCCTCCTCCTCCTCGTCCTCCTCTCCCAAAAATACTCCTCCTCCTCCTCCTCCTCCTCCTCCTCCTCCTCCTCCTCGCCTCCTCCTCCTCCCCTCCTCCCTCCTCCTCCTCCTCCTCCTCCCCTCCCCCTCCTCCTCCTCCTCCTCCTCCTCCTCCTCCTCCTCCCTCCTCTCCTCCTCCTCCTCCTCCTCCTCCTCCTCCTCCTCCTCCTCCTCCTCCCCCCTCCTCCTCCTCCTCCTCCCCCACCTCCTCCTCTCCTCCTCCTCCTCTCCTCCTCCTCCTCCTCCTCCTCCTCCTCCTCGCTCCTCTCTCCCGGGCACGACGGCAGGTCCGCGGCGCGCGCCGGTGGGCGAGCGCGGCGAGGCGGCGAGGCTCAGGTGCTCGGGGGGCCGGGGCGGCTCGGCCCGCGTGGGAGGGCAGGGTCGGCTGCCCGCGGCGTCCACGCAGAGCTCCTCCTCCACCTCCTCCTCCTCCTTCTCCTCCTCCTCCTCCTCGTCTCCTCCTCCTCCTCCTCCTCCTCCTCCTCCTCCTCCTCCTCCTCCCCCTCCTCCTCCTCCGACGACGACGACGACGACGGCGACGAGCTGGGATTTCAAGCGGGGGTCTGCATCTCTGGCACACACGGAGGTGTGGAGGATGAAACACGTATGTTCATGTCGTTTCTTCTTCTGCTCCTTCTATTTTTTTCTTGTCATTGTTTCTCTTGTTATTATTTTGTTCCGCATTTCTCTTGTAACAAAGGTGTGGATGATCAAAATGGGTAAGGAAGTAACCGGCGCGAAAGTTCACATCAAGTCCTCTCCGTTTATGGGCAGGAGCCTCGAAGAAGAAAAGACGCCATGAATAAAAGTTTCCGGCGCTCCGCCCGGATTTCTCGGATCCGCGCTGGGTCCCCCCGGCGGCGCCTCCGGCGCCGCCCCTGGCGCGCTACGCGCGCCAGGGAGGGGGGGGCCCAGCGCAGGTCCAAAAAATTCGCGCGGAGCGCCAACTGTTCATGGTTATGCCGCTTCTTCTTTGTCTTGTAACAAATGTATGGGGGACCAAAATGGGTAAGGAAAGAATGGTGCGAAGGCTAAGATCAAGTCCTCGCCGTCTTGAGCAAGAACCGCTGTCGGCGCCGCCCCGGAAGTTGTGCATGTCAGACAGGAGGCTGCCCGCGCCGCGGCGCCCGCCGTCGGGTGTGGAGATCCTCTGCTGTATACGCCCAGTTGGGGCAGCCAGACCACGGGTCCTGGCAGTCCGGGCGGGGTTGTTTGAAGGCGTATGGGATTTTCGCAGGTTTCGGCCTAGAGAGTTTTGGGAGTTTTTCTCGAGTTTGAGATTTTCGCAGGTTTTGGCTCAGAGATGTTATTAAGTTTTTTAGAGTTTGAGCTTCTTCGCACGATATTGCGGTGGACCGCCTGTAGTCGCTATTGCCGAACCTAACGTCAGATCTCTATTGTGGCTGCGCGGTTGCTTCGGCAAGCAGCCTACCGCGAGGTCAGGAGCTGTTTGAGCGGCGCTTCCCCTTCGCAATGCGATGGCCTCCTCGACTGTCAGCGAGCCTCTCGGATGGTAACCCGACAAGATGCGCGACCGTCCCAGACTTTCCTCGATATTGGGCCCGGGACAATCAAAAACAATTGGGCCCCGGGACAATCAAGAACAACTCCGGGACGCCGCCGCCGCCGCCGCCGCCGCCGTCGTCGTCGTCGTCGTCGTCGTCGTCGTCGTCGTCGTCGTCGTCGTCGTCGTCGTCGTCGTCGTCTACGTCGTCGTCTTCGTCGTCGTCGTCGGCTGCGGCGGCGGCGGGACCTTCGGGGCCGCGGATCGGGACCTTCGGGGCGGCGGGACCTTCGGGGCCGCGGACCTTCGGGGCCCGGGCCGGCCGCGGGGCTCGAGGGCTGGAAGGGTGTCGTCCGAGCTCTTGGAGGCGTTCGGGTCCGGGTGCAGCTGCGTCTTCCATCAGCTCCGCCTCGTCGAGAGCTTCCGGGGGAGCTTTTTTTATAGCTTGCGCAATACTCGCGTTCCCACGGCTACGATCACTTGCAAACTGCGCTGTAGTCGGGTCCCTCTTGCCACGATCCTTTGCCAATTACGGGGCCGCCTGAGGCCCGAGTGCGGCCACGCGCAAGAGCGGCCCGTCGCTGAAGTGACCTGAGGAGTGCGCGGCGTGTCGGGGGCGCGGGGCGAGGAGGAGCTGGCCCGGGCACGCAGAGAGGAGGGAGGAGGGAGGAGAGAGGAGGGAGGGAGGAGGAGGAGGGAGGAGAGAGGAGGGAGGGAGGAGAAGGAGGAGGAGGAGGAGGAGGAGGAGGAGGAGGAGGAGGAGGATAACGCTGCATCGCACGCAGCGATCGGCAGTGCGCGCACCAGACGCCGCCCACCCCTGTCTGGGGGGGCACTCCCTGCGCGTGGCCCACCGGGAGCAGCAGGCCACCGCCCAGCCATGAGCAGCCGCAGGAAGGAAGAGCAGAGCACCCTCACCACCACCACCAGGGGTGGCCACCTCCAGCGAGGAGGTCCCACGACGCCTCCCCGAGCTGGGAACGAGGGGGGATGTCTCCAGCGGGGAGGGGGGACCACGCCACCAGGAGGACCCCCTCCTCATATGTAGTGCCACCCGTGTCGCTGAACAGGCCGAGGCGCTAACATGTTTCTACTGCGTTTGAATCATGTTGGGGTGTAAAAACAAAAAATAAAAAAAACGCCTACCGGGAGGACCCCGCTCCGGCTCGTCGCGGGGGGGAGGCGGGCTGCCAGGCAGGCGCCGCAGCTGCGTCGCACCTGGGCGTGTTCGCCCGGCTGCGGGCCCCGGGGCCTGGGGCCGCACGCATCGATGCGGCCTGGGCCTCACCGAGCAAGGGGGCCAGAGAGATTTGCAGTCGCGATTGGTGGTGCCGATGTTGCCATTTGCTCGCGCGGTCCGACCTCGGGGTGAGGAGGGAGTGCATCGTTCCAGAGCGTGCCACAGAGCGCTCTCAGAGCCTGTCGTGGCTCTGGAGTGGCGGCGGCGCCCGATGCGTCTTCCGGGCCCTCCAGCTCTCGGATATCCCAAATGTTCTAACGTCATGTGTTGGGTTCATTCTCCTGTCGCCTCAGGAGGATAACAAACAAGTAAACATATACGTGCCAGGAGGTCCGCGCAGGTCTCTTCTTGTGTTGGCGCCGGTCCCCCCTTCCTACACCTCTGGTGGCACCACGGGCGCCGTCAGGTGTGTGCGTGTGTGCTGTCCAAGAGATTCGCGCAGACCTCCGAACGATAGTAGTCATACCGATTCTCAACTGGCAGGTGCCAATGGGAGGGCAATCGAACTCTACCGGAAGGGCTCGCGTCCGATGGCCCGAGCGATTGCTTCACTCTCTCATCGGGCCGAACGAAAGGGGGGGATAGGGAAGGGGGGGGGGTACGAAATCTGCTGCATGCAGCTGGTTTCGGCCCCGCCGCCGGGCCCATTCCTCGATACATGGGCGCCTCCCGGCGCCGGTAGACGCTGGGATAATTTCAGCTACGTGAGCTGATGCTCGACCCTACCCTTTGCTATCCCCCACTTTCGTTTCCCCCGATCCTAGCAGCGGCTTGCACCGAAGGGCCCCCCCCCTGTCCAGGAGTGAACCGAGCTGCCCTCCACGGGACTGGGATCTCGGCCCGACTCCTCTCTCCCTTGCCCCACAAGGGCGATGTCCCCTCAAACATAAAGTGGAAGGAAGGGGCTCTGTCCCAGGGAGCCCCTTCAACAGCTTGATGCCCGAAGCATGCATATGCTCGAGCTGCGAATCACTTGCTTGTGCCGAGCGTATGTAGTTTTAAGATTCCAGGTGATCTTTGTTTTCTGAGTGGTATCACTTGGTCAAAACATGACAGCTGTTTATAGATCATGCACGTTGGCATGGCTGAGTATACATGATAATGCTTCCTGCTTGAGGATTATACTTTATGTTGAATTTGGTAGTTCGCCCACTGAGGGTGTCTGAAAGCTGGCATGAGAACAGCATACTCCGAATTACGTGTTCCACGAATTGTTTGTTCTCTTGCGGCCCCGGGAGGAGGATGAGGCCCCCCCTTCCTGGACACCCCAGGGGCCCTTTGAGAACCCCTGGAGCCGTTCCGGCCTCCTCCCCTGGACCGCCGTCGCGTACAACCAGCGCTCGCTAGCGCCCCACCGCGGAGGGAGTCGAGGCGGCAGCGCTCCCCGCCCACTCCCCGCCACCCCCCGCCTTCTCGTGCAGCATCGAATTGGATTCCTCTCCTCCGCCCTCTCCTCCCGCTCCTTCTCCTCCCGCCCCCTGGCCTTCTGGCCTCGTCGTGGTTTCTGGTGTTGTGTGTTTCGGGCAGGCTTACTGGCCTGCCCTGGTGCCGTGATGGCGCCCTGCGGTGCCTTGTGGCGCCCTTTCCAAATCGGCCCCCCCCCGTTCCGACAAGGTTCGGTTGGGGCAGCTGGACACTGACTCCCTCCTCTTCCTCCTCCTCATCCCCTCTCGAGTTCCCCGCCCTTCGAGGTTGCGCGTCGGTTCAAGAAGGACATAGAGGTCGAGGCCATGTCGGAGGCGGAGGCGGAGGCCAAGGGCATCATGCGATGGCCAGTCTGGCGGGGAGGTAGGGGGAGGGCAGCGTCTGCTTGGGCGAGAAGGGAGTCGTGTTCGGTCAGCCCGTGGGCAGTGTCCAGCTGCCTGGCGGCAGTCCCGCCGCCGTGATAGCGCAGCAAGACGAGGGCTTCAGTCGGACGGGGCTAGGGCGAAGACGAATCCGCTCCGGAACGCTCTGAGAAGGCCGCGGCGCCCGTGCCCGAGACACTCGCCAGAGCCGCCGGATCCCAGAGAGTCTCGATTTAGCATCACCCGAATGTACTGATGTGATGGGCCCATTTTCCACCACCGCTACCACATGTAGGACGCGGAGAAGGAGGGATGGGGAGGTCCTTCTCTTCCTCCTCCTCCTCCTCCTCCTCCTCCTCGTCCTCGTCCTCCCTCCTCCTCCTCTTCCTCCGTCCTCCTCCTCCTCCTCCTCCTCCTCCTCCTCCTCCTCCTCCTCCTCCTCCTCCTCCTCCTCCTCCCTCTCCTACCCGTGGCAGTGGTGGTGGAACATCGGCCCACCGTTCCTCCTCGTCCTGGCTCCTCCTCGCTCCAGGGATCGGAGAGGGCAGCGGGGCCGCCAAATCCCGCGCCTCCGCCCTCTCCGCGGTGGGGGGCGCCCGCCGCCCCGGCCACAGATGCTCGCCTCGGAGCCCTGAGCAGGGCGCGCCCCAGAAGAGTCAGGAGGGAAAGAAACGCACAGACACAATGAATCGTCGATTCCCCAGGAAAATATGGGAAAATATGGGAGGTGGGGGGGAAGACAAGAGCCCAGAAGATATGGGAAAGTATGGGGACTCCTGTTATTTGTGTGTATTTATTTGTGTGTCCTGGGGCCCCTTCAAAGAGGTCCGCGGTGTGGCGGTATGGGAATCGTAGGTCGAAGAGGGGAAGTTTTTTTTTTTGCCCCCGCGGGGCCGAACCGTTTACACAACCACGCCACGTGCCTGTGGAGGAGGACACCCTCTGCGCCGCCTCCTCAGCCTGAGCTCGCAGGCTCGAAGCTTGCCTCCGACCAGTCTGGAGGAGACCCGTCATCGCAAGTTGGCGCACAGTCACCTCCTCAGGTGGCGGAGGCGCGGCAGCGTAGCACAAGTTGGTGACTCCTCTCCGAGAAGTCACAGTCCCCTCCGCTTGCAGATCGCTGGAGTGAGGCAAAACACCGTCGCAAATTTTGCGCAAGCTGGTCACACCTCCAGCAAGCTTGCGTTGCTGGGACTCTCGTCCCAGCAGGCGGCATCTTCGAGACGTACATGCTCCACATACCGTACAGAAGAAAAAACACTTTTCATCAGTGCCCTGGATCACAGTGCAATAGGCCAGGGAATGACCAAGAGACAAGTCGAGCGTTTTCTTCCAAGTCTTGGACATACCTTTACATCCGAGCACCGGTCTCGAGGCACCATCATTCGAGAGGGTTAAAATCTGAGGCAAGGCTGGCATGTGGGCCTTCGGTGGAGCTCCCCATGGAGCCAGGAAGCGTGGGAGGGGTGGGCCAATACAGGGTGCGGCGGCCGCATGCGAGCGATGGTATCTAGGCATTCGGTGGAGTTCCCGATGGGGCCATGAAACGTGTGAGCGGTGTGACCGTAAAAATTGGTGTTGCAGCTGCATGCGAGCGCTGGCATCTGGGCCTTCGGTCCCTATGGGGCCACGAAACGTGTGAGGGGTGTTCCAAATGGGTGCGGCGGCCGCATGCGAGCGCTGGAATCTCTGAGGGGTTATGCCGAGAGGTTATGCGAGGGGTTATTCCGAGGAGGATGGGGAGGGGGGATGATGATGACAATGCTGATGCTGCTGATGATGAGGAGGAGGATGGATGATGATGATGGTGGTGAGGAGGAGGGGAAAAGCAGCCGGCTGGACCGGCAGGAAAGTCAGCCTTCCTCCATCCCCTTCTCATACTCTTCCTCCTCCTGCCCCCGTTCTTCCTCGTCGTCGTCCTCCTCCTTATCATGGTCGTCATCCCTCCTCCCCTTCCTCCTCATAACCGCCCCTCATCATCATCACCATCATCCATCATCCTCCTCCTCCTCCTCCTCCTCCTCCTCCTCCTCCTCCATCATCATCATCATCATCATCATCATCATCATCATCATCATCATCATCATCATCATCATCATCATCCTCATCCTTATCCTCATTCTCATCCTCATCGTCATCGTCATCGTCATCGTCATCATCCTCATCCTCATCCTCATCATCATCAGCATTATCATCAGCATCATCCATAATCTATTATCATCATAATTGTCATCATCCGCAGCATCATCATCGCCATCTTGATCCCTCCTCCCGATCCTGCTCGTCATCATCGCCAGCATCATCAATCAAGTGGCGAATGGATGTTGATAGACAACGCATGGCGTTGCCCCGATGGTGAGGAGGAGGAGGAGGAGGAGGAGGAGGAGGAGGGGCAGGAGGAGGACCAGGACAGATAATGATAGTGATGGTGGTGATGATGAGGAGGGATGATGGTGACGACGATGAGGAGGGGGAGTAGGGGGGTGAGGATGTTGATAATGTCCTTCATAATGAGGATAAAGGAAGGGAGAGAGAAAGGGAGAAGGGAAGCGCAAAACACACACTAGCCACCTACACAAAGATGCCACTCTTATTTTGTAAGTCCCATGCCAGGTAATTTGCCTTGCTTGAGCTCTTGCCAGATAATTTGCCTTGCCCTTTCTGTTGTTTTCAATCTGGGCGTTTCTCCTTCGCTTGCGGCCTCCGTGGCCCGTCCTCGTGCCCCAGGACCAAGAACTGATATATATATATATATATATATATATATGACGAGAAGCTGTCGTCGCAGAAGGGAGGTCAGGGTGACTTCTCGGGGTGTCCCTGTAGCGTGGTGAATGGCTGGGAGAGTTGGGCGGCAGGGAGGCGGGCAAGTGGCATGGGCAGCGGCGGGAGCAGAAGTAGCTGGAGCCCGCAGACGCTTAAAACTAAGAGCCTATAAATATTGAAATCCTAAAAGCCCTTCCGCCGCCCTTAAGTCCCTCCTTCGGCCGCCCCCCCCCATTTTGGCGCACCCCTCACGCAGATCCTTGCCCTCGGAGCGCCAGGAATGGCGTTCTGGGAGGATCTGCAAATCCCAGGGTGCGCCCCTCACGCAGATCCTTGGTCTCGGAGCGCCAGGAATGGCGCCGGGCGCCCCCGCGGCGGGCGAGGCGGCCGCGGGCGCTGCGGCCCTCCCTCTGGGAGCTCGCGGGAGGGCGGCCCGGCGGACGCGGGGTGGCGCGCCGACCCTTCGGCGGCGCAGGCGGCCGCCGGCCAGCTGGGCGGTGCGCCCACGGCGACCGCGGGGGGCCCTGCGTCGCACAGGGACTCGCGTCAATAAGCGTGGATTTTGCGTGCAACCTCTCCGCCGCTGGGCGGCGTCCCTGCATCGCACAGGGACTCGCGTCAAAAAACGTGGTTCTTCAAATCGCGTCGTCACGCGCGCGGGCCGCATCGCCGTTGCAGCCGCGTCCCAGGTGTCTTTGCGCGGCCGCGTCGTCGTCTCTTTGAAAACAATATCAACGTCGTCGTCATCGGTGTCGTCCTCGTCGTCGTTTTGCGAGTCGCGCGTTGACACCGCATCGAGATCAATATGTCTTGGGTCATGGGTGGGTGGGACACGGTCATGTGGGCTGCAAGTTTGGGCTAGTGGCCTTAAACCCCTAAGCCCCGAACCCATCTACCCATATGTTGGGCGCTGTATGTGCAGGCCTTCCAGATCGGGTCCGTGAAGATGGGGTCCGAAGGTCGCGCCGCATCGCCATGCCTCGGCGATGCAGTTCGATGTGGATCACGATGTTCTCCACGCCGACGGCGCAGATGCATCGCCGAAATTAGCAACGCATCGCCGATGCATCGCGGGCACATTGGGCGATGCGGCGCGATCTTCAAGCAAAACAACTACCCTTAGGTCTTTGGGAGGGGACCCAAGTTAGGAGGGGCAAGCACATTAGGACATCTTTAATAGCCTTGGACCTCAGTTAGGCAACGAATTCATTATTGGACTTAGGGGTTGTATGATGCTTAATGGGCCATACTATCCTAATACATTCAGGAGGCTTCTGGTACTCGAGAAAAGAAGCCGTCGCATGTCTGGGTTCTGGCAGGAGCTCCCCCGTGACGAAGTTCGATTGGCAGTGGTCCGGCGACGAGGAGGCGTGGATACTCGATGGCGAGGCGCGGGCGACGCTCGGGCTGCCGCGCTCACCCTTTGCCCAGGACGGGCCTCTCTGCGTCAGCGAGCGTTCGGTGATCGCAGATTTGCCAGATCGGCAAGTGCTCCCTGAGATCCCAGACCCCCTCGAGTCATGACAGAATCACGACGGAAGGTTTTTCGTTGCTTTTGTTTCGGCATCGGGGGGCCCTTGCCGGGCCTCGGGACCCCCAGGGAGTGGGTCGAGACTTCTGGGGGTCGACGTCATGACAAAATTCATGACGTCGAGGGTCTGAGATGCGTCGTAATGTTGTCGATTACCATCACTGATCGATCAGGCTCCAAATCTGCAGTGGAAAAACAGGGCCTGGGGTGCTGGTCGCGATATGCTACGATGACGCGTTTTTTCGTGACGTCGGATCTCAGGGCTCGGTGAGTTGAGGCGGCTTCTCCCAGTCCGTCGGAGGCCTAGAGGTTGACACCAACACCAATATCGGCGTTGTGTCTCCACCGAGGGAAGGGTATCCCAATCTCGGTCATGGATGGTGGTAATACTCTGGCTTCCAAGGCGGCCGAAAGATAATCACCATCACCGAAATGTAGGATCATCTGCCCCTTGTGGAGGCAACGCCCTGTGTTGGTGTTGGTGTCAATTCCCAATAGGGGAACCAAAAATGACATAAACATAAAAACTCGGAGGTCCGCGCGGATATCTCGGATCGGCGTTGGGGCCCCCCGGCGGCGCCTCGGGCGCCGCACCCGGCGCGCTCCGCGCGCCAGGGAGGGGGGTCCAGTGCCGATCCGAGAAATCCGCGCGGACCTCAGAGTTTTTATGTTTATGCCATTTTTTGTTTCCCTAGCTGGCGGCCGTCCCCTCCCTGACCTGGAGGGGCAGCCAATGCATGTAGCTAGGCGTCCCTGCTCTCCTCGTCCACTCTCTCATGCTCCTTCTCCCCTTCATCCTCCTCCTGCTTGTATGTCATCTGCGGAACCTGCATGGTGCCAGTGACTACCCGAGCCTCCACGTCCGCGGGTGTTCGGAGAGGCTCGCCGGGCCAGCTCGCACATCTCCCAGTCGGCGCGAGCGCTCCGTGGCGTGGCGCCTCGGACGCGCTCCGCTGCTGGCTCGGCCGCGTGCCAGGCCCGGCACGGCGCGGGTCGGCGGTGTTCGGTGGTGGGGCCTTGATCGGGCCGAACGAAAGGGAGGAATTGGGAAAGGGGGGGTTACGAAATCTGCTGCATGCAGCTGGTTTCGGCCCCACCGAGGGGCCCATTCCTCGATACATAGCCGCCTCCGGCGCCAGGAGGCGCCGGGAAAAATCAGCTACGCGTGAGCTGATTCTCAAACCCCCCCGTTGCTATCCCCCCCTTTCGCCCGGCCCGATTTGAGTCGGGCACGTCCCTCTGCAGGAGGAATATTCCCAAACAGAAACAATTGTCCGGGGACGATGTTTCGACTATGCTGGACAATTTTGGAATCTTGTTCGACTCTTGTTTGGGTTGTCGCCAAGCATACGCCTGCAGAAGGACATGCCCGACCTAAGTGTGACCTGAGAACGCACGGCAGCGGGACACCTCCCTTGGGTCCCATTCCCAGACCTCCAGCACCCGCTCTGCCTGTTGGAGAGTATCCGCAGCAGCATCCATCGTTCAGTGCGTGGGACTCCGCCGAGGCCTCGACCTCAACACGCTGTTCATAACGCCATGGTGCCATTTTTGGGGGGTGGGGATCTGCCATGACGCCCGTCCACGGACAGGGAAAGACCCAGCGTAATGGGCAGGGGTGGGTGGGAGGGGTATGTTGTCAGATATGATGCGAGCGCGTTTGGTTTGGCTGCAATACTTTCCTGACTCTCCTACACTTCGTGCTGCTGCCCATTTTCCCAACCCTTTTGTGTTGGGTTCATGTTTTGAACAGGGCATTGTGGTATCCCCTCCTCCTTCTCCTCACCCCTCCTCCTGTACTGCTCCCTGGGTAGCTGCGACGTGCGCAACTGTCGTCACTTTCGTGGGCTCCTGGGAGGTCCAGCGTAGTGGAGGTGCACGCGCATCCAGACGAGACCTCGCGGCTCCCTGGGTGGTTGCGAGCCGCGCAGCTGGTTGTCGCCATTGTCGTGGGCTCCTGGGAGGTCCAGCGCAGTGGAGGTGTACTCGCCATCCAGACGAGACCTCGCGGCTCTCTGGGAAGCTGCTCCAGACGCCACTCCGCGGCTCCTTGGGAAGCTGCGAGCTGTGCAGAGGTCGACACATTTTGTGTGGGATTTTTGGAGGTCCATCGGAGTGGAGGTGTACTCGCCATGCAGACGAGACCTCGCGGCTCCCTGGGTGTTTGCGAGCCGCGCAGCTGGTTGTCGCCATTGTCGTGGGCTCTCGGGAGGTCCAGCGGAGTGGAGGTGTACGCGCATCCAGACGCCACCTCGCGGCTCCTTGGGAAGCTGCTACGCAACCTCGCGGCTCCTTGGGAAGCTGCGAACTGCGCAGATGTCGACACGTTTTGTGCGGGATCGTTGGAGGGCCAGCGCAGTGGAATGTGTACTCGCAGTGCAGACGAGACCTCGCGGCTCCCTGGGTGGCTGCGAGCTGCGCAGTTGTCGCCACGTTCGTGGGTTATTGGGAGGTCCAGCGAAGTGGAGGTGTACGCGCATTCAGACGGGACCCCTGGCTTCCTGGGTGGTTGCGGATTGCGCAATTGTTTCCGTTCTCGTGTTTTTGTTCGGGAGGTCTGGCGGAGTTGAGGTGTACGCACATCCAGGCGATAGTTCGCGGTTCGTTGTGTGGGTTATTGAGGTGTACGAGCATCCAGACGAGACTTCGCGGTTCATTTACGCGAATCCAGACGAGATTTCGCAGCTCTTTTGGTGGTTGTGGATTGCGCAAGTGTCGCCATTCTCGTGCGCTCGTGGAACTTCCGCGGAGTGCAGATGTACGCGCATCCAGACGAGACCTCGCGGCTTCTTGGGTGGTTGCGAATTGCACAGTTGTCTCCTAAGAGGTCCAGTGGAGAGGAGGTGTACGCGCATCCAGACGAGACTTCGCATCCAGGCAATACCTCGCAGCTCCCTGTGTGTTTGCGAACTGCGCAGTTGGTTGCCATCTCTGTCGTTGGCTCCTGGGAGGTTCAGCGGAGCGGAGGTGTACGCACATCCAGAGGAGACCTCGCGGTTCTTTGGGAATCTGCGAGTTGGGCAGTTGTCGCCATTGTCGTAGGTTCTTAGAAGTGGAATGGAGGTGTGCGCGCATCCAGGCGATATTGCGCGGCTCCCTGGGTGGTTGCGAGCTGCGCAGTTGTCGCCACGATTGTGGGCTCTTGGGAGGTCCAGCGAAGTGGAGGTATACGCGCAGCCAGACGAGACCTCGCGGTTCCTTGGGTGGTTGCGGACTGCGCGATTGTCGCCACGTGTGTGGGTTCTTGGGAGGTCCAGCGGAGTGGAGGTGTACGCGCATGCAGGCCACTTCGCGGCTCTTTGGGTGGTTGTGAATTGCGGCGCGGAGGCAGCGCAGGTCTTTTCGAGACCTCGCGGCCCCGTGGTTGGCTTCGATTTGCGCAGCTGTCGCCACTTTCGTGGGCTCCTGGGAGGAACGGCCGAGGTGAGGGCACCGCAGATCACTTTTAGGCCTCGCAGCTCCTTTGGGGACCTCGGATTGCGCAGCGGTCGCCACTTTCGTGGGCTACTGGGAGGCACGGCGGAGCGCAGGGCGCCCATATGGCGCGTGCCCATTTGGCGCGTGGCGCCGTCGCGTTATTTCGCGCGCGACGCCACTGCATCACGGAGAGCGGAGCGCCACAACGTCACGTAGCGCACGGCGCTGTCCTCAGTGGCCACTCCTGCGCAGGTGTGGGGGGCGCGCGCGGCCCGACGATATTAGCCGAGCAGTGTCAGAGTGCTGCAGCTTTCTCAGTGCGTTCTTTTGTTTGTATGGAGCGTTCACGCAGTGGAGACCCATGCCAAGAAACACCCTTCTTGCCTCCAGGGTGTCCTGGGTTCCTGGGGTTTCGATCGTTTTGCTCTGGAAAGCGCGACGTTCCCGCACAAAAAATCGATGGACGTCCTGGGGGCTCAGGGTCGGGTTTCTTGTGGAAGGTTTCTGGTGGACTGGCCTCCACAGCATGGAGCGTTCATACCACTAGTCGCCTTCCGTGGAGAACGGGCTGGTCCCGTCTCGGGAACTTTCCGAGGGGATTTGTGGCACGAGAAACCGCCTTTCCAGCTGCGCTTGAAGCCTCAAGCTCGGAGGTGTGGGGGGGGGGGCCTCGTTGCGCTGCTCGTGGCGGCATGGCGGCCTGAGCTCCCCGCCCCGAGGTGGCGAGCCGGGCTGGGCCAGGCTCGAGGGGGCCGGCAGGCTCCCAGGAGCATGCGATGGGGGCTCCCCGTCCTCAGCGAGGAGGAAGGGCGGGGGGGGGGTTCTCGCTGGGAGGCCGGCCACTCGGCCCGGACCCCGTGCTCCGCGCCAGCGGCCTCCCTGCCCCCTTCCTTCCTCTCCTTCGCTCAAGCTCGCCCAGGGCCACAGAAGCTGCCGTCGGCTGCCTCCCCCTTCCTCCTCCTCCTCCCCCTCCTCCTCCTACATTTCTACATTTCTCGCTATGCAGCGTCTTGTCGCGCGCCCCGCGGGCGCGGAGCGCGCCGCAGCGGCCCTCCAGGGCCGTGCGGGCACTCGGACAGCGGCCCCGGGAACCCGACCCCGAGGAAAGCAGAGGGAACCAGGGACCAAGTTAAACCTCAGCGGAGGGAAAAGGGGGGCCGGGTTTCAGCAAAAAGAAAAAAGGGGGCCCGTCAGGGCCCACGGGCGGGCGCCGCGCGCGCCCGCGCCCGCGGGCGTCAGGCAGCGCGGCGCACGGCCAGGCCGTCGGCCTCTTTGTGGGCAGGCGGCCGCGTGGTGGCGGCTGGGCTCCCTTCGGCGCCTCGCGCTGAGCCCAGCCGCCGTGGGGTCTTCGGGTGGCTGGCTGCCCCCAGCTGCGGCGGCCTCCACCCTTCGGCGCAGCGCGCTGTGGAGGCTCGCCGAGCCGCTCGTGGGCTCCAGCGGG